ATGAGATTTTTCCATTTATCAAAATTGGCCAGTTAAGATTGGTACTTTTCACGACATAAATTTCACCTTAAAAAATAAATCAAGTAGGGGGCAGTGAGTAGATGGAGAAAGAGGTGAAAAAGAAGGGCAGATGATGACATTTGCTGAAGTCAGATAAAGAGATGTAAGAGGTTACCATATCTTTCCATTTGTTTTGAATATATTAAAATTTTTCATTATAAAAAGATCAGCAAGCTGGGCAAAGTGATCCCAGCTACTCAGAAGCCTGAAGCCAGAGGATTGCAAGTTTGAGGCCTGCCTGGACAACTTAGCAAGACCCTGTCTCAAAATTAAAAATAAAAATAAGGGCTGGGGATACAGCTCAGTGGTAGAGTGCCTGTGGCATATAAAATAATAAAACTTCTGGGAAAGTAAGGCAGGATAAGGGACATGGGAACTAGAGAGAGACAGAGAGCATGCTCCTGGTCATCACTGAGCTCACAGATGACAGAGGATCACTAGGATCAGCCACTGGCTGAAGTCAACCATGCTTGCTCTACATCTGGCCGAGGGAGACTGCTTTCTGCAGGTCCACTGACAGAAAGCACCAACACATTTCAACCCCACACTTACAGGGTATATACAAAGAAGCACTTTAAACTAGGAATTAAAACATATACTGTAATATTACTTTTTTTCAACATGTAGCTATTTCCTTGAAACAATTCTTGCAGTTTCAAGCCCCGACCTAGAAGTAAAAGGGAAATTATGTATTTAAAAGGTATCCAGCCAGGGATTCAGCTCAGTGGGACCAGCTGCCTCACAAGCAAGGTCCTGAGTTCCATCCCCAGGAAAGTATCTAATACAACATCCTGAGGCTGGGGATTAGCTCAGTGGGACCACGCCAACCACAAAATCCTGATTTCGATCCCCAGCACCAAAAAAAAAAAAAAAAAAAAAAAATTCCTGAAAGCTGAACTATACCAAATCCCTCCTTTGCTGAGCCAGTGTATAAAGTTCTAATATTTGCATATGCACATCAACGTGTCTGCCTGTTTTATAAGAAAGGGACTGGGATCCACCTCCAGGAAGAGAATGTTAGCTATCAACAGGTAGCCCAAAAAAGGGACACTGCACCAGAAGGAAATGAAACAAAACATCTGTCCTGCCTGATCATCCGCTTACCTTCGGCCCTGATCCAGCCGTCCATGAGGGCCCCGAGCAGGAAATCTGTTCAGGTGACTCAGGTGAAGTGTGTGAGATGTTTGGAAGAGACTCAGAGCTACAGAGAAGAAATGGCTGTGACTGAAAAACCCTAAAAACTCAGCAAGCTTCCCCCTCCCTTCCTTCCAGTGTACAGGAGTACCCACATCTGTCCTGAGAGCAGCAGCCTGAAAGTTACAAGTCCACTCATCCGAGCACTCCCCACAGCCACACCCCAACATCTGTCCACACCACTGGTACTCACGCTTCTGAGGAAAGAGCGGGGGAATCCGGTGAGGCTGGAAGATTAACTGGGGCTGAGCTCCCAGGATCCCTTGCTTCTGGCCCAGAGCTGCCACATGCAGAAGGGGAGGTGCTGGGGACTTCAGGAGGGGCTGCAGAACAGTTGCCAGGAAATTCAGGGGATCCCAAAGTTGACAAATTTAATACTTTGGAAAGACACAGTCCCACCCCCTTGACAAAAATAAGGTTCTTGCCCAGCTATCAGGGCACAGGGGTTTGCCTCCCTCTCCTCCTTCCAGTACACATGTATGGAGAGTTGAGTACCTGGTTGGAGAGAGTCTGCACCTTGACAGCATTCCAGGGCACAGCCTGGCCTGGGTTGTACGCAGCCTTCACCAGCACCTTCTCACCCAGCTGGGGCAGCCGGCCCTTCACCACACTACGAGCACACAAGCAGGAGACCCCATCAGGAGAAGGACTCTGGCCAAGCCACCCTGACTGCCCCATGGGGCCCTTCCCAATAAGCTTCCTCATACATTGCATAGAAATGGCAATGACTCAGGAGAGGAGGCCCCACTAGTGTGGTGACAGAAGCAAATTCAATCGGCATTTCCAGCAGAGGACTTGTCTCAAGTCTACCTTAGCTGAAAAAAGACCTCCTCGTCCACCACCCCAAAGTAGTCGTGCAAGCTCGTAACAATGCCAGTGAAGACTCGCTGCTTCTCCCCACCCTGCAAGAAAAAAAGCAGGTTAAAAGTAATAGGGAAGGGGCTGAGGATGTAGCTCAGTGGCACCATGCCTGCCTTGCAAGCTCAAGGTCCTGAGTTCGATCCCCGGTATCGAGAGAAAATAAAAGTAATAGGGAGCAACCTGAACAAAATCACTCTGCCTCTAGTGTGTCATCCCTATGTGGAGCCTGGCTCAGAACCCTGCATCAAGACTCACACAGAGCTGGGTGTGGTGACCCACACCTATAATCCCAGCACTCCAGATGGCAGGGGCAGGAGGACTGCAAGTTCAAGCCTAACCTGGCTAACTCAGTGCCTTAGCAAGACCTTGTCTCAAAATTTAAAAAGGGATAGGGATGTAGCCCAGTGTGAATGCCCTGGATTCAATCCCCAATACTGGGGAAAAAAAGACACTAAGTGTTGGGGGTTGGGGGCTGGTTCTTGGCTCAAGCTTTTTCTAGGATTTCCAATTCTTTAATCCCAAGAGGCATCCCAAAGATTTCTCTGGATGCAGAAATTAAGACTGCCCAACCTGAGGAATGGGTAGTCACCCCCACTGGCCAACTATCAGGACAGGAGTCAGGAATACTGTAATATAAGAAATAAAAGAGTGGGCTGGGGATTTAGCTCAGTGGTGCTGCACCTGCTTCGCAAGCTCAAGGTTCTAAGTTTAATCCCTGGTACTGGGGGGAAAAAAAAAAGAAAAGAAAAGAAATGAAACAGCATCAGAAATGTGTGCATACTGGGGGAGGGCGAAGACTGAAACTCCCTAGAATGGACACTCAACCTACCTGAAGGTGCCTGGCATTTTGTGACAGGTCTGTGGCCACAGGAGGAGTAAGCAAACCAGGGGGAGGGCCCAGAAGAGATGTTGAAGCTGCGCCTATGGGGACAGAGAAGCAATCTCCAGGAACTACATCTACCACCTTAAGCACCACAGGCAGCTAAGAGGACACAGTGCACCGAGGGCAAAGTGCCTCCAACCAGCTCTTCCCTCACGGCCTCACTGGCAACCACTGTGGTGATCTCATTTCCAAAGAATCAGCACCAGGGAAAGCCCAGAAGCCATACTTCAGGAAACTTAATTCCAGAGCACACACATCCCAGTACGAGCCCAGGTAGGGAAAAGAGTGATCACCTGAGAAGTTGCGTCCCCCTGGAAGGGGGTTGATCCGCTGGCGCTTAAACTGGGACATTGGGAATGCTGTCTGTCCTCTTTCAGAATCTTGGGGGGAAACCTTCAGTCAGAAAAGAAAGAAGTTAACACCTCATGTGGAAGATTTCCACTTATCTGCAGAAAAGACCTTGTGGAACTTAAGGAAGGGGGATGTGAACGCGGAGGATGAGAAAACAGAGGGAGAGGCTACAGAGTGGCAGGAAATGAAGTAAGAAATTACATTGTTTCAGTTTACTCTCAGAGTAACCTAGTGTCCAGACGATACCAACATGCTGCTTTTACAGAGAAGCAAACTAGATCCCAGAGAGACCGGGGCCTTGCCCCAGGCAGCAAAACCAGGTAGTGACAAAACTGGGACTCACACCGAGGTCTCCCAACAACTTAGCACGCCTCCCACTATGCCACACCACCCACAGAGAGGTTAGAGAGTGGGGGCTGAAAAGAGCTCCGGTGCCATTCATTCATTCTAAAACATCCTCCAAAACGCTCCACGATGGGCCCAGAAAAATGGAGGAGGCCGGTGCAGGCCCTTTCCCCGGAAGCCCGGCCCGTCGTCGCCCACACGGGCGGGTGGGAACGGGGCTCACCGAGCGGCCCATCGCCGATCGACCCAGGGCCTCCTTCCTGCTCGCGCTCCCGGGCCCACCAAGCCGCCCCAGCAGCACCCAGCGCGTCCTCCTGGGCCGGGCTTCGGCGAGGCCACCGTGGGAGGACCGAGGCGCGCGGTTTCTCCTCCTCCCGCCCGCCCCCGGGGCCGAGGCCGTTGCCAGGGAGACGAGGCTCGCGGTCTGGAGGGGGGCTCTGCCCCTTCTGCGTCCCGAGCATCTTTGCCGCCTGACCCCCCACAGCCCCTCGGCCGGGAGAGAGGCGAAGGGGCGGAGGAGCTGCAGGGGGCCACCCAACCCACCTGCGGGCCAGGGCCGCGACACTGGGGGGACAAAGACACCCGGAACCACCAGAGCTGCTGCTGCCGCCGCCACCACCGGAAGCGTCTCTCCGGAAGCGCGACCACTGGTCGGAAGCTGCCACTCTCCCGGATATGGTCCCTCCCTCGTCTCCACCGATGTCTCCCTTCCCCCACCCCCGCCTGCCATCCCACTGCAACAGTGGAACGGAAGTGCGCCTTCCCGGATCGGATGCGCGTTTGCCAGCCGCGCCTCAGAGGTGTCCTTGCTTAAGTGTCCCATTAGAAAAGTAGGCTTCAGAGCATTGGTTCCTGGTCCAAAAACAGCAAGAGCTGAACCCCACATACAGGGAGGGGATACCACCCACACACCCGCCTAACTTTGGCAGCCCCCAAGACTATAGCAGCAAGAGAACCAGCCTCACTTGACTGGAGGAGAGGCATGCCTGAGCAGTGGCCATACTACCTAGGAAACATTCTTCTGACTCAAGCCAATGACCTCATCACTATCTCTGTCCTTCATTGACTACAACCTGTGACAACCCTGAGACGTAAGCACTTCAGGAAGCTGTGCCCTACTCCAGTATGAAACCTAAGAGGCTTCAGTTAAATGACTCGCTCAACATCTTGCCAAGAGAGTGGTCCAATCTAGTCCCCATTAACAATCCTGGTCCCCCTTGAACCTGAATTCCCTATCACCCTTCCAGTCCAGCCTCCCTCCAGCACCCATACCCTCCCCATTTCCTGTTCACTTAACATGCACAGCACACTTGGAGACGGTTTAATCTCATTTTTTCCTCATAACAAGCTTGTGAGGTAGGTAAGGCAGGCATCATTATCCCAAATGGGAAGCTGTGGCTCAGAAGTTGAGACTCTGTCAAGGTCTAACAGCTATGTAGTATTAGCTTCAGGTTCCAGCTCGGATGTGTAAAAGCTATGGCGGAGCAGAGCAGCTGAGAATTGACGCTAAAGGTTATTCTGCTGTTCCCCACATTGTCCCCGACCTCCCCATTCCTCATACAGTCTTCAGGAGCTCCAAGTACAAGACTCTAATACAGAGGCAACCAAGACAGCACTCTTCTTTGTCCTGAGGCTGCCAATTCAGGCCTGAGGAAAGCAGGAATCCAGATCAGTAAGTTTCCTGTGTGGATTGAAGGCCAGGTCCATCCTTCCATAGTTATCCAGAAGACTAACCTTTTGGGTGCGCGACTCTAGCAGGTATAGTTGGATCCAGCCAGTTACAGATCTTGACAGCCTCACACAGATGTATTACCCTGTATGAATACACATCTGCGACATGCTGGGCCATCACCTTGCCAAACACATGGCCGTCTGGTAAATAAGTTAGTTCACATTGTCTGGGCCCAGGGATTTCTGAGGAGCTCTGGACCTGCCATACCTTCCAACCTCTCTGGGAATTAGGGCTCCTCTGCCACAGTGCTCAGAGGAGAAAAACTCAGTCCTTTCCTTGGAGGACAAGCATCAGTAGCTTTTCCTGGCAGTGCAGAGAAGCAGCAATGGGAAAGGGCAAAGAAGGCTCCATGACAAAGCCCCTCTGCCAGGTTCTCCCGTTGCATCAAGGGGCCTCAGCATATAGAAAGGTTTTTTGCTCATTGCTTCTTAACTACTAATGATGGCCTAAAAGCGTTCTGCTGCGGGTGGCACTGAGGGCTTTCGGAGAGGTCCCTGGACTCAATCCTGTGAAAAGAAAAAGGAGACGTCAGGCCCCCAGGAAAGAAGGGCCCAGAGCATTGCTTAGCTGATATAGGAAACCTGGAAATGTTAAACTGGTGCTTCCTGCCCCCAGAGAACTAGTAACAGCCCCAAGCATGACGGACCTTACCAAAAGCAAAACTCTTTGTCTGGGGCTTTACCTTGCTCTCCCCAAAAATGCAGGGAGGTGGTCTAAATTTCAGCATTATGGGACGAGGGATTATGGTGAGCTTTCCCATAATTCGATTCTGGCTGTCATCTACTAACTCAGTAGCTTTGGAAAGGCCAGTGTCTCCAATCCCGCCCAGGCCCCAGCTGCCTTATCTGTAAACAGGGCATTTTAGCAACTTTCTCTTTCTTCCAGCATCCCCTCCAACACATCTTTCAGATTTCCCAGGAACAAAAACGGCAACTGTCAGGACAATCTCAGCATTTTGTCTCATCTGTCTCCTCCCTCTGCCCTATTCTGAGCTGGGCACAGAACTCACCTGGGGCCAGAACCATCAGGTGGGACAAGGGACTTAGGGTGTCCAGGGCTCCTCCGGCGGATCCGGTTGAGCAGGACCTTGACCCTGTCCCAGTGGGAGGGAGCCTGCTGAGCAGGGGTAGGGAGTCATCAGAGCTCTCCCTACACATATACTCCACCCCAAAGCTGCAGGTGCAGCTGTCACCCGCTCCTAACAGGAATCCTGTCATCTTCCCAATGTTTCTAGCCTTTAGGGTGCCCACCCCACCCCACCATCCCCTAGCCTACCACATGCCCCACATATGTCCATCACTACCTTGTGTCCCTGGGAAGGTGGAAAGCTGTCAGTTGGTTCCACTGGGGCTTCTGGCAGCCTGGGAGGGTTGGCACTGAGCATCCCAACCTTTGAGCATGAAGCTGCCTCTAACCCTTCAGAAGGAGAATCGGATTACCTGGGACCAGGAACAAGGAGCCACCCCCCACACTTCAGCTCAAGGCCTCTACTGGTGGAACCCTGGGAAGGTACCTGAGGCAGGTGAGACACAGAGGAAGACAGAGTTGCCCCTCAGCTGGCCATGGTGGTAAGGAAACAATCGTCCCTCACCTGTCTCCTTTGTCAGGCTTTGCAGCTCCTCTGACCCCTGCACCCCACTGCCTGGGGCAGGTAGAAGGGAAGGTAATGGGGCTAGGGCCAGTTCCTCCTCCTCTGGATCCTGGAACAGGAGAGATGGGGTAATTGAGGCCTGAAGGGAAGGCTGTGGCTGCTCCGGAAGCAGTGAGAGTTCCAGGGTCCTGCCCTTCTGTCCCCCTCCCCACTGGCCTGGCTGCCCTCTCCAGAGCTCGCTCACCTCCGGGGGGCTCTGGGTCCGCAACTGCAAGTAGAGCTGCTGCAGTCTTGCCATCTGCTCCAGCACCAGGCACAGGTGCTCCAGGTAGCGAAGCCCCTGCCCTGGGAGGCAGGCCCAGGCTCTGGGCACCACGGCTGCTACCTGGGGGACACAGTAAGTAGGGGCGACTTCCAGGAAGACCCCACTGGCCTCCCACTCCAGGTGGCCAGGCTGTGCCCACCAGCAGATGGGGACACAGTGGGCAGGTGAGGAGGAGCACACACCAGCTGGCTGCCCCCTGCCCCTGCTGGGCATAGGACCCAAACCTGCCCACCTCCCCAGTGGGGGTGGCCACGCAGCTGGGGGTGGCATGAGGCCAAAAGCAGTGACACAACCATCAATTAGGGGCAAAGAAAGCCCTGCCCTGAGAGAGCTCCAGGGACAACGAGCTGCTTCCCCTAGCCCCAGCCAGACACTCAGTCACTCACCACCTCTGCTTCCTCCAGGTCCTGCTCTAGCTTGGCTTCTGCTCCCAGCAGGGGCGGCGCACACCCAGGCCTGGTCCACGGTGCCGGTGGCAGGGCACAGTGCTGTGTGGACGGGTGGGCACCCCCCTGGGACCACTCTAGAACCTGCTCCAGCTTGCGGCTGGCCAGCAGCTGGCCCAACTGACTGGGGGGCTCTGGGGCAGCAAGGGCTGTGGGCTCAGGACTCCGCATGGGCTCCACGCTCACAGAGTCCTGAGAAAGTCCTGGGAAGGTGGCCAGGGTGCTGTCCCCGGCCACCATCTCCACCCCTGAGTCCCAGGAGGCCAGTGTGGGAGGTGGCACCTGCCCCTGGAGAGCCCTTGGCTTGCCCACTCCCTCTGGGAGGTCCGGTGTGCACCCATCGGCCGTGTCCAGGATCCGTCTATAGGTGCCGGTGACCCCAGGCACGATGCAGCCGTGTGCCACGGCCTCGCCTGCCCTATCTGCAAGGATAGTCAGTGTCAGGCTGGGTACAGTGCCCTCAATGCTCCTGGCATTCCTGCAGCTGGCAGCGTTCCCAAGGTGGTGCTCCCTGGGCAGACTGTGGTAGGAGGAGGACCCAGGCCAGCTAAAGCCCCGCCCCACGGGGCCCCAACCCAGCTCGGGAGACTTCTGGGTGGTGTTCGCGAGCACCACTGATGTGAGGAGGGCCACACTTCGGGCTGTGTGGTACACAAAGCCCTTGGAGGTCGTGGCCATTGCTCCTTAGAAGCCCTGTGCTTCCACCCCCAGTCTGCCTAAGACCTCCGGCCTCTAAGTGGAGAGGCATTTCCCCAAGAAAAAATTGGGCTTTAGGGAAGGGGAAAGGTAAAAGCATGAAGCCTGGGGTCCACACTGCTCTCGGGGGCCCTGAGACACCAAAATGCAAGATAAAATCTCTCCTGGAGCGCATGGAAGAGAGCAATAAAAGTAGCAGCAGCTAAAGATGGAGGTGCAGCACTTGGGAGCTGAGGGAGGAGGGTCTGAAGTGCCAAGACAGCCTGGGCAACTTAATGAGACCTCGACTGGAAAGATTTTAAAAGGCCGGGGATGTAGCTTATAGTGCTCCCTGGAGTCAGTCGCAGAATCACACACACACACACACACACACACACACACACACACACACGGCAGCTATGACCATTTGGGTCTTTTGTTCTTTGACGCGAGAAATAGTGAAGGTTTTGTAAAGAGTTTAAAAGTAAAAACTTCAGCGAAAGAAAACCAGCAAGCGCGCATTGTCGCCTCCGGTGGTCGGGATGCTCCACCGGAAAGAGGCGGAGGCGGGGACTGCCGGGTGGGAGCTGGTGGCGCCCCCCGCCCCGAGCGGGACGTGGGCCCGGCGGAGTCGCGCGTCCTGGGCGGAGCGGGGGCACCGGGCGCGGGGCTGGATGGAGGGGAGGCGACCGGCAGGGATGGGGGCGGCGGCCGCGGGACCACGAGGGTCTCCCAGCCGGGGTCCTCGGCCGGAGGGGGGCGACTCACCCCGGCCACCGAGCAGCTCCACGGTGAAGACGCGGCGCCGGCCCAGCATGGCCGCTCCCCGCCCGCGCAGCGCAGTCGGAGCGTCCCCTCCTCGTCCCCCTCGGCCCCGCCTCGCCAGGTCCCGCGCGGGGGCGGGAGGGGCCGCAGGTGCGCGGGGCAGCGGCGGAGGGTGCAGGCCGGGCCCCGCCCCCAGGCGCCCCAGCCCGGACCCGCAGCGCCTCCCGGAGTAGGGCACCCCGCCCCGGAGCTGTCGCTGCCCGTCCGCGATCCGCTGGGTCTTCCTGCGGCTCGCAGACTTAGAGCCGGGGCTTCGAGGGGAGCCCAGATCCGTGCCCGGTGGAGACAGGGCCCACGGGCTGGCAGGGATCACGGTCTCCGCGCTCCGCGGAATCCTTCACCGCAGCTGCCGGGTGCTCCAGGGGCTGCATCTGAACCGCACCCTGCCCACTCCTCCTTCCTGGCGGGTGCTGGCGGGTGGCTGGTTCAGGGCCAGGGAGAGGTGAGCTGCTCCCCGTCGCCACCCCAGCCTCTCGTGGTGGGTGGGATTCCATCCCCAGCCCCCCATTTTAAAAGGAGCCCCCGGGCTGGTGAAGGTGACAGCCCCGTGACCGGATGGGAGCCTGTGGCTTCTAGGGAAGCCTCCCCTCTGGAGGGAGGGACAAAAACATCTCAGTAGGACCCGAGTCCCTGGGGGCAGATCAGGGAGGGAGCAAGGTGGACCTGCAGACTTGCAGCCCAGCCTCTGGTGGGAGCCACAGCCAGGGAAGCGGCTGCCCTCGGAGCGCTACCACGGGGAAGCTTTGGAGACTCTTTCAGATCAGGAAACTGAACTCACAGCCAAGGCCCCAGATGCCCGTGACAGCCAAGTCCCCCAATTAACGCTGCCTGCCGTCTCAACGCCCCAATGTTTGGGGCTATATCCTTCCTTGGGGGAAAACAAAGGCTGCGGGGCCTGGCAGAACTGCCCCCTCCCAGCCCAGGAAGATGTGGGCGCCAGACTCGCTGGGCAGCACGCGGCCTCGCCCTCCCGGGTTAGCAGGTGGGGTTAGGGAGGGAGCCTCTGCTAGATCTCCGCCTGAATCTGGAGAACTTGGGGCCAGATTCCAATCCGTCTCCGTGGTGACTCTGGGGCAGGAATGCCTGTGGAAACGGGAAGCCCAGTCAGCAGCAGGAATGCAGCGTCTCAGCACAAAGCTTGTGTGTGGCTGCGTGGGCGAAACCGAACCCCCGCAGCCCATATACACGCCCCTCCAGGCCACAGCCCCACCCTGTGCCCATTTGGGGAACAGCCACAGCCCTCCTGGGGCTATGGAGGTCTGAGGTCCTTCCCACCTGCGGCAGCACCACAGCCACCCCTAGCTGAGCAGCTACCCTGGATTCCTGGGACAGTCACAGTTGAAGGCCAGGCAGAGCCAACCCCAGGCTGGAAGGCCATGCCCTTGGCCCTTCCACCTCCAGTGGGGAAGCCCCATTTCAGGAAGTTTACTTCCTGCAAGCTCAGGGCAAAGCTGGGCCCTGGGGGAAGGAAGGGCAAAGCCAAGAGCCTGGAGCAGCTGCTGCCAGGCTGGAGAGGCCAGGAAAGGCCCGCTGACCTCTCTCCCTGGCCAACAGTGGCTGGGGCTGGGGCTGGAAGGCTGGCTCTGGTGACAGACGGGCAGCTCCCCACAGCAAGCCAGAAAGCCTGCATGGGGGCCTCTGTTTCCATTCCTGGCTCCTCACCTTACCAGCTAGGAGTCCTTAGAATCTTAACCTCCCTGTCCTCAGTTTCTTCACCTATAGCACAAGGATGCTGGCAACGCCTATCTTGGAGCTGTGAGGAAGCACTGAAATGTCCCTAGCACATCTAAAGTGCTCTGGACATCAGCCATCATTACGTAGCTGCACTATTCTGAGAACTGTGGCTTGCTTCCCTAGCTCTCCAAAAGGGGGTATTATTGGATGCTTTTGCAGGCCCCTTCTAACCAAGTCTGTCATTTCTGAACTTCTCCCAGATTCAGGAAGTACAAAATGCAGGCACACAAATGAGCAGTCGGGTTACTTGGAGCGGGAGCTCACAGGGAGCACGGCTCGCTGGAGAGGGTGGAGCTGAGGCCTGCCCTCACGTAACATGGTATGGAGGGGGTCACTTATCCATAGCCTACCCCGTCCTCTCCAACCTGTCATTCCCCTGCTTGACATTTTCAGTGTCCCCGAGTCCTGAGGTAAAGTTCAAACCTCAGCTGGCATTCAAGGCTCCCTTGCTGTAAACTTAGCTTTCTGCCTGCAGTGGGCCTGTCTCTGCCTTTCTCCTGTCTCTCAGAGCCCTGGCCGTCCTTTCCACGATGGCCGCTGCTCGTGTCCAAGGTAGCCCTCAGCACTCGCTGCCGCGTTGCACTGTGTCATTCTTGCCAGTTCGGTTGCTGCCACTTCCCATCATCTTCAGGGAAGTAAGAAAAGTGTTGCACAGTATCTTTCTGTCTCCCCACTGCTGCCATTTACCCGCAAGCGCAATTCCCTTTCCTGAGCTCGCTCCCTGCCATAGGCAGCACTAGACACAAGGTGGCGCCAGGGAGGCGACCCATTTCCCACCTGCCTGTGGGCCCCAGAGATTCCTGCGCCAGCCAGACAGCCTTGATCTTTTCTATAAAAATAAAGGCTAGTCATTGGGCAGCCATCCAGGTAAAAGGTGACGTGATGATATCAAGGTGTAAATCATATCCACAGATGCCGAAGGAGGTAACACAGTCTGTGTCAAGATCCCTTCTCCAAAGAGCCAGATCGTACAGGCTGCCCTGAGAGACCGCACCCTCTGAAGCCAGCTTTGATGGCCCCAGAAAAGTAAACCTGACCGACCGGGAGCCAGGGCAGGTCTGGAGCACCTGGAAGCACCCTCGAGAACCTCCTGAAAGTCAGGTGTGGTAGCCCACAGCTGTAATCCCAGCACTTGGGAGACTGAGGCAGAAGGATTCCCATGAGTTTGAGGCCAGCCTGGGCTACACAGTGAGTTCAAGGCCAGCATGAACTACATAGTGGGGAAAAAAGAAACAAAAAAAGAGTTAAGGATGCACACACCCCGAGGTGAAGAAGCAAGCTCTTCAGTGGGGGACAGCAGGCAGGCACCTGGCAGGTGGGCCGGAAAGAGGTGAACTAAGAAGGGACACGGGAGACATTCTCCACCCAGGGGCCGGGGAAGGAGAGAACGGGGAAAGAAACGCATCAGCTTGATTGTGTGCACGCATATACATATATTTATAGAACTCATGTCCAACATCTTGCACAGTGAATACCGCTGGCCTCTGGCCCACCCCTCTCCTTCTAAATCCTTCTGTCTCTGTCCCACCTTGTACACAAAGGTATCAAACATGGCAGCCACTTCAGCCTGTGGCACAGCCTGTTGTACAGGGGAAAGGCTGGGAGGTGGGACTACTCCGGTGCCTGAAGCCCCAGAAGGGTTCCAGTCCTTGGCCTCATCCAGCGAGGACGAAGGGGCCTTGTGTCCCCAAACTTAGTTCATGGAAGAGCCACCCCCACCATTGCCCCTTCCCTGACAACTTGCCCTCCACAGGGCGGAGACCGAGGGTGCCCCAGGCTCAGGCCTGGGAGCTGAGGGAGGAGGGAGCCGAGTAGCGCTGGCGGGCGTGCTTCTCACAGTACAGCTCTTCGCCCACCCAGAAGTGGCCACGCATCTTCAGGTTCAGCCCACAGTCTGCACAGGTGTAGCAGCCAGGGTGGCGGTACCGGCCCTCCTGGATGCGCACAGCCTGGTTCCTGGAGGGGGACAGGAGAACGGGTGAATGGACAGGAGGACCAGGCATGAGGCCATCGCTCCCAGGGAGCCCGGTCCCCAGGCAGAGTCAGGACCTGGGACACAGAGTCCTTCTCAGGGACCTGAATCCCAGGCCTCCCTCAGGAACCTCACTTTGACAACCCTCAACACATACAAAGACACACCAGCACACAACCCCACAACATGTGCGTCCCAACACATGCAGAGCACATAGACAAAGCTGGAGCCCTGATCACAGGGGGAGGGGAGGGGGAGGCACAAAGACTGATAAAACCCCTGCACTCTCGGTGGAGTTGTGGTTCTCAGCGTGGCCCCAGGAGCAGGACCACCAGCTGGACGTGCACACTCCCGGCCTGCAGCGTCCTGAGGCGGAGACTCTGGCTGGGCACCGGCCTGGCTGCCCCACTGGAAATGCACCCACCTGCAGCCACTACCCAGTCCCTGCATGCAGCGGGGCTGGAGCTTTGCCCCTTCTTGAGCTGTGCCCCATCCAGGCAAAGGGTTTGCCTACAGCAAATCACCTGACCCTTGATCAACGCTTGGAAAATTTACCTGAGGGGGGCAGCGATCTGGCAGAGGCTGCACCCTACTCTGATGCCACCCACGGAGAACAAACCTACCCTGGAAACCCAGTCTGGGCTGTGGGCCAGGGAGGGGAAGAGGGGGATTTTCTAGGAGGGGCCTTGTTTAGGGGCAGATTTGGGAGGCCTGGAGGTTGTGCAGGGGAAACCTCGAGCAGTCGAGCAGCAGCATTTCTCATTCCTCTGGGGAGAGGAGCGGAAGTGGCGAGGAGGAGGCGCGAAGAGGAGGTGGGGAGAGGAAGCGGCCAGCCAGGCCTTCTTGGGAGGCTGCAAACAGCCCAAGCCGCAGCCATCCGGGGCTGCCTCCAGGGGCCTACCCGTCCCCGCCAGAGGGCGCCCTATCGGTGTCCTGTCCCTGGCCCCCCACACTCACGCGATGCTGGTGTTGCACTTCTCGCAGGTGTGGAGCTTAGGCGGGGTGGCCAGGGCCCTGGACGTGGGCAGGGAGGACTGGGGGCTCAGCGAGCTGGGCACGAAGGCCGGCGTGCCACCTAGGGGCGGGAGACGGCACAGCCAAGCTCAGCCACCCGAGAGCCGTCCGCTTAGACACAGAGGAGCTCTGCGGCCCGGCGGGCGAGGGTGACGGGGGAAGGACTGAGGATGGCCAGCCAGACCCTCGGATGAGGCCGGCCAAGGCCAAGCCCGCCCTTCTAGGGCACTGGAAGCGTCCATGCTGGGTCCGTGCTTGTGACCCAGGCCAGATGCCACCAACTGAAAACAATCCTGGGTCATGACAGCACCACAGTGCCGCTGTCCAGTCTTCAAAGGGCTTTTATATGTGTCGCTGCCCGCGAGCCATGAACACCTGCGCTGACCGTCCTGCCACTCAGCTCCCTCTCCTGTCTGCCCCACTGTCTCCCCCCGTCCACTCTTTTGGCTGGTCTCGGCCACCCAAAGAACATCCTGCTCCCCACAGCAAAGAGCTGGCCAGGCCTGTCTGCCCCAATGAACAGAGCCCCCGGGGGGCCAGGTGGGGTCCTGGCCATCTTCCATCCCCATGCTGCACCCTTCTGCTCCGTCAACAGGCACATCCGTGTTTGTAGAATGAATAACTGATCACACGTGGCCTGCATCTTACCCAGCAGGACTGTCTAACCTACACTTGTGGGTCGGGGGCTCCTCAGCCTAGCTCCCAAGGCCCTGGCCAAGCTGCTTTCTGGTGCCCACACCCAAAAGCCAGCTGACTGCCATGTTCCTCCGTGCTCCAGCCCCACTTTAAGGCCATTTGCTGAGGAGTGGATCTTGTTTCAGGGCCCAATTAGACCCTGCTTCCTCCCAGGCCCCACCCCACCCCGGGGGCTCTCCTTGTGCCAGCCAGCACTCCCAGCCACCTTCTGGGTGCCCACCTCGGCCCCCTGCGCGGACTAGGAGCTGCTCTAGGGCAGGCACCGTGGCCCGTGGGCCCTCAGAACCCTCTCCCCAGAGCCTCCACCCCGCGGATCCCGGGCCTCACCTCTCTCCTCGGCCTCCAGCGCTTCCTGTAGGAGCCGAAAGGAGCTAGACTGGCGTGGGGCCACCCGGCCCTCGCGGTTTTCCTGCAGCATCTTGAACACCTCCGAGTCCTCTTCCAGCACGAGGCTGCCGGCTTCTGAGTCCGCGCTGCTGCAGGGCGAGGCCACCAGGAATGAGGGTCCTGTGAGCCGCGCAACCCCAGGCAGAGAAGCACAGGCCACCCTGACCCCTGGGCTTGGAGGGCCGGGGCCCTTCCCGGGGAAGCCAGGGTCCCACCTGTACCCACCTCCCAGCCCCCGCCCCAGGCCCTGCAGGAGGCCCCCGAGTCCCGATCCGCAGGCCCGGCTTGTACCTGAACCTAGGGCTGGAGCACCGTGGGGGAAGCACCCGCACAGCTGAGTCGCCCGCGCGGCCCAGGCCCGCCTGTGGGAGGAAGGCGCGGGGAGGAGTCAGCCGCGCCCTGGCCCAGGGCCGCCGTCTGATGCTGTTTCCCGGGTCCCCGCCAGGGGGCGCCTGGCCCTCGTTGCCCCTCAGGCCAGCTGTCCAGACGCTCAGAACTGGTGCACAGGGATGCTGGGTCTGCGCCCAGCTGCACAAGTTCTGCGAGGGGACTGGGAAAGGGCCAGGCGAAGGACAGCTGGAGACCAGCTCCTCTCTATGACAGGCGGCACGCTACGCCACAAGTCCTCAGAGAGATGCACGCTGGGCCAAGCTCCGATCCGCCTCAGGGAGGCGGTGGATGAATGAAGCATGGACCTTCTGCGCCGCTCCTCTTCTAGTAGGGCGGCCCTGGGGTGCCCTCTCCCACAGCTCCTGGACTCTGGGGACCCCTCTGTTCTGAGGCCACATCCTGGCATTTACTCTCCAAGTAGAAACCTCGCCTTACACCACAGTTGTGGCTCTGATGCTTGAGGCCAGTTTCCTTTCAAGTGCCCTTGTCACCCTAAATCCACCAAGTGAGGAGCCCCAACGAGGTGGCTGCATGCCTGTCATCCTCCCACCCTGGGAGGCTGAGGCAAGGGAATCACACGTCCCAGCCTAGCCTGGGCAATTTAGTCACTTAAGTGAGACCCTGTCTTTTTTCTTCTTTTTTGGTACCAGAAATCAAACTCAGGCCCTCGAGCTTACTAGGCAGGTGCTGCACCGCTGAGCTACATCCCCAGCCCTAGACACTGTCTCAAAAAAAAAAAAAAAAAAGTAAAACAAGGTCTCACTACTTAGTCCAGGCTGACCCTGAATTCACTATGTAGTCCAGATTGGCCTCTCGCTCAGTGTTCCTCCTGCTCAGCCTCCTGACTGCCAGTACTCCAGGCATGTGCCACTATACCCAACGCAAAAATTTAAAAAAAAATTTTTAAGCTAGGGATGTTGGGCTGGGGATTTAGCTCAGTGGTTTCGCCGCCTGCTGCACAAGCACAAGGACCCGAGTTCAATTCCTGGTACGGAAAAGAAAAAAAAAAAAGGGAATAAAGCTAGGGATGTAGCTCAGCATGAAGGCCCTGGGTTCAATCCCCAGTGCCACCAAAAAAAAAAAAAAAAATTAAGTTCATGGATGAACTGTGGAGTCCAATGAAGAGCTGCACACATCCTTAAGCCAAAAGTGAAAACTCTGGAATCTTGAGATGAATCCCAAGACCTCACCCGCCCTAGCTCCTGGGGTTCTATGGAAAGGGGGCCGAGGGTCAGGAGGACAGTGGCGTGTTCAGGCCGCCTGTGGTGTCAGAGGCTGGGCTGGACTGCATGTCCAAGTGCCCGGATGGCCATCAAGTGCTGTGCTATCCACACTGAGCCTAGGAGATAGCTTCCTCAAGCCGAGAGCCATGTCGCAGTCTGGGGTGGCCCTCAGCAGGGCAGTCCTTGCCCGGCATGCCAAAGGCCCTGTGCCCCAGCCCCTTTGCTGTAGCACAGCAAAAAGAAAGAACAATGTCATATCTCCAGGCAGGCCAGCACACACCCTGCACAGAACACATACCCAGGGGACAGGGAGGGCTGACATCCACCCAGCCCCCTTGTGGGGCCAAGTCCCCATCCCACCAAGAGGGAGAGGTGCTTCCTTCCTTTGGCATCGGCTCAGCAAGGCATGTGTCTGCCCAGTGGGGGAGAGTTGTAGTTCCCAGAGGGCACCAGAGGGCTAGCAGCACCCCGGACCCCAGGCTCTGTACAGTCAGAAGCCTGCTGCAAAGCTAAGCACCTCTGCCACTCCCACCCATAGCCCTTCCAGGGGTGGGGCAAGAAACCCTCACTTGGAGGATGGCTCCCCCTGCCTGCCATCCTCTCCCTCCCTCCCTCCCTCCATTCCGGGCAGCCCCCGCCCCCTGCACAGAATGGACCCTTCATCAAGAGTATGTCTGCAGCCAGCCCTCCTCCAGGGAACTCAGGGTGCTTGTGCTGAGTGGGGCAGCAGGAAGAGGGACTGAGGGTCCTGGGGGCACCAGGAGAAATTCTACAGTTCAGTAAGTTTAGGAAATTAATCAGATCAAATATCAAATGTGCTTCTTCCTCATAGGCTTTGAGCCTCCAAGATGCTAAAGCTCACTGAGGGTGGCTAAGGTCCCAAGAGGGACCCAGGACCCTGGGGCCCCCACACCCATCATGCAGTGTATGGGGTTAGGAATGCCTCTGTTTTTCCATGATGCATCCCCAGAGCCCAGAGGGTGCAGGACATGCAGCAGCTGTTCCATTGGTCCTTGCCAGCAGAATGACAGGACTCCTTAGGGTCAGGGAAGGGAACTCAGCACCTCATCTGGTCTGGCCCGGCCTCCCAGCAGAGGTGGGACTGACCGGCATCTCCCCACCACAAACCCAGGCTCCCCCTTCACAGGTGGGCTTGTTAAAGCACCAACTGCTGCCCCACACCCCATGCCCCTTCCAGCAGATCCAGACCAGGGCCTGAGAAACTGAATTTCTAACAGGTTCCCAAGTGTTGTTGATAGTTTAAAAACCACCAGGCACAGTGGCACATGCTTGGAATAGTTTGCATTTGGGAGGCTGAGGCAGGTGGACGGCGGTGCATTTAAGGCCAGCCTGGGCTCCATAGTGAATTTAAGGTCAGCTTGAACTACACAGAGAGTCCCTATCAAAAAAAAAAAGAACCACTCCCCTGTAGCCCCTGAGCACCAGGGTTCTGCTGAGACAAGAGCCCTCAGAAGGCTGGAGGAAGGCAGCTAGGAGGGCACAGGATGGGCTCCACCTCCAGCCCTGAGCCAAGTTCACTCCCAGCCTGTCTGGGACCAGACAGCTCACCCGTCCCAACACTTCCGGCCTCCCTCAGACTGCCGCCCTCCTCCTCTGGGGGAGCTGACCCTTGCCTTATTCTCATCCCAACCCCACCCCTTCTGCCCTCCTGTGGCCTGCAAAATTCCTTTCGAAGCCTTCTCAGGCCACCCTGGCCTCTCTCCCTTCCAGAAGGCCTCCTGCTTGTGTAATTAGCACCACGCCGCTAGGGCTTAATTGTTCCAAAACCATTTCACCTGTTCCTCCTATCTGACAACTGCATCGCACACGACTCAGAGACGGGCATCTCATGAAACACCTCGAGGTGTCCACCTTGTCCATCCTGCTGACCCCCAGGGAGCTCCCCACTGTGCAGCCCCCAGATCCTGCCCCTCCCTTCTCCAGAGCCTCCCCCAGCCACCCCCAAATGCCCCACTCTCTGAAATGCAGAGCCAGCCTCGAGGTGAGACCGCAGCAGCTGGGTCTCATCCCCTTCGCCCCATAGGCCGGACCAGACACAGCCCCGGCAGCTGGGGTCAGGGCTGCTGGCTGCCTCTCCCCTTACTCCCTCACCCTGAGCTTGTGGAGGAGAAATGCCACCTGGGTCAGGCTGTCACGAGTGGGCTTAGGGACCTGGGGGAGGAGGGTCCAGCAGAGCAGGGGGGAAGCCATCCGGAAGAAGCCCAGGGCAGCTTGGGGCTGCCGCAGTCCTTCAGGGGGCCCCAGCCTGAGTCAGGAGGACGAAGGGCTCAGGATGGGAGCGGGGGCTCAGATGGGGAGGAATGTGTTCAAGAGACGCAGCCAGACAGAGCCCAGAGGGAATCGACCCAACAACAGCAGCAAAACTATGTCAGCCCCAGCCCAAGAGAAACACACTGGGGTGGGAGGAAGCCAGAAGGGAGGGAGGCAGCCAGGGCTGCGGGAGGAGGCCCGGGAGGACGCCTGGCCTGTCGCTAGGAGACGGCCCCACAGGTGGCACCAGCTGTCTGCTGCCCCGAGGGCAACGCGGGGAGGCATCTCTCCTTCCCCGGGGAGCCTCACCTGGCGTCCTGCGGGGCGGCTCCCGGGGGACAGGCAGGACAAGCGGTCCGCAGCAGCTCCAGGGAAGGCAGCCGAGTGGGTCAGGCTCTGGAAGCTGAAATGGGTGGATGACGCGGTGCGGGCCCCATGCAGCCTGCCCCGGGAAGGAAAGGGGCTCCCAGCGCCTCTAATCACAGCTGAGACTCCAGGGCCGACTCGGGGCTCCTCTGCTGCTCACCTGTGGCCAATCGGTGCCTCTCCCACTAGCCCCAGTGGGCTGCTGGGGGGCGGGGTGAAGGGGCTGCACGGCCGGGGGCTGAGGGAGGTGGGGCTGGAGTAGGAGGACCACAGGGAGGACTGGCTGTCGGGGCGTGTCCTCAGGGAGCCCTGTGGAGAGAGGGGCCTGGAAGAGCTGGGTTGCCCCCCCTCCCCCGCCCCCAGCCATGGTGCTCAGGGCGGTGGGGCGACGGGCTCCTGGCTGGTGGCACCAGCTTACCTGGAAGCGAGTGGCCAGCACTTCCAAGGAGCCGTCGCCATTGCTCTGCCCAGGAGAGGCAGCCCGGGACCTGAGGGGACAGCAGAGGAGGGGAGAGTCGCAGAGGTCCCAGCCCTTCCACCTTGCAATGCTGTTCTCAGACCTGGTTCTCAAGACTGACAAATCCCCCGGGATGTCCGGATGCTGCGCTGTCAACTTGATCTTTTTTGTGTGGTTTGTGGGGGTTTTTGAGACAGGGTCTTGCTATATAGCTCAGGCTGGCCTTGAACTTGCAGCAATCCTCCTGCCTCAGCGTCCCAAGGGCTGGGATTATATGCGTGTGGCATCATGCCCAGCTCACACTGACAACTTTTAACATTGCCAGATTCAAAACAGATAAATATAATCATCAGCCCATTTGTTAAAAGGACAAGCTGGGCAAAGTAGCACACACCTGCAATTTTTTTTTTTTTTTTTTTTTGTACCGGGGATTGAACTCAGGACCTTGCGTTTTCAAGGCAGGTGCCAGAACCACTGAGCTAAATCCCTGGCCCTCCGGAAGTTTTTAAAAAAATTGTTTCAGGGGGGTACCAGGGATCAGACTCAGGACCTTGCGTTTCCAAGGCAGGCAGGGTGTCACTAAGCTAAATCCCTGCATCCCCCAAAATTTTTTTTTGAAACAAGGTCTCCATTTGCTGTTCGGGCTGGCCTTGACCTCACTATGTAGCCTAGGATGACCTCAAACTCGTGATGATCCTCCTGCCTCTGCCCCCAAGTACTGGGATTACAGGTGTGCACCACCACGCCCGGCTTTGTACACCTGTAATTGAAGCGCTCTTGGAGGCTGAGGGAGAGGCATGGTGAGTTTGAGACCAGCTTTGGTAACTCAATGACTTGACGAGACCTTGCCTCAAAATAAAAAAATATAGGGCTGGGGATTCAGCTCTGTGGTTCTGCCACCTGCCCCTACAAGTGCAAGGACCCGAGTTCAATCCCCAGTATCAAAAAAAAAAATACATATATATATATATATATATGACTGGGGATGTAGCTCTGTGTAAAGTCCTTGGGTTCAATCCTCAGTACCAAAAAAGAAGGAGGAGGAAAAATCAGAACCAAAAAAAGGGCATAATTTTGTAACTATAATTTCAACAAAAAGTTCTATAAACTCAATTTGATTCCAAATTCCTCCCATTATCCTCTTCCCTTCTTTCCCCTCATTTCATCTAGACTTTGTAGATCACTGTTGGGGAAGTTGGCTGAACTCATATAAATAATCCTTTATATTTTAACTGACATCCAGAGAGGGCGCATGAGATGCCCAAAGCCCCAGGCTCATCGGTAACTGGGCCACAGGCCCAATTTCTCCCACCCACAGGCTCAGATGGCAGGAGTGCCCGTACCAGGGTCCCTTTCCCAGGCTCCTCCTCACAGGAGTTCTGCCACCCTGGGAAGGGCAGTCAGCCAGCGGAGCTTGGCTCAAGCTCCAGCCTAGAGGGAGCCCTCCTGTCTCCAAGCCTCCAAACACCACGAAAGTCTGGGGGCCGGGGTGGGGTGGGGGTGCAAGGAGAGGACTCAGCAAAGAAAGGAAGAGACACTGGCCTCCCGGGTGGGCCTGGGGTGAAGTTGGATGCCCAGGGTAGGTGGCAGGGCCCTCCAGGAGGGACCTGGGAGGAAGTAATGGTGTCAGCACCTGCCTCCCCCACCCCCGGACTGCACCCCTATAGGTCTTGGCCACATTCCCCGATGTCATCAGCCCCTCTGCACCCTCCTCTGCTCCCACTCCTGTAGACACTCAGACTGGCAGAGGGAAGCAGGGTCCTGGGGAAGCCCCTGCAGACCACAGGCAGGGCCTGGAGAGAGCCTGGCAGCGGTGGTGGTGGCTGAAAGGCAGGAGGCACCTGACTCAGTCCCAGGCCTCCCCAGAGGGCTCTCCTGACTGCAGGATCCCCCAGCACGCCTGAGCAGTGACTCACTGTGATGCCCCACCCTGGGGAGTCAGCTGTTCTCCCCCAACCCTGGCATCCAGGCCCAAACCCTATGAGCCCGGGATCCGCCTTCACTCAGGGCTCAGAGCAGCAATGGGGAGGAAAGGATGAACTCTGTGTGCAGTGAGCCCCCGACTTCCTCCCCCAGCGCCTCTTACAGGAAGGGGTCCTGAGCCCCAGCCTGGGGACACCTTGCCCAGAAGTTTCCCCTCTTCAACCCACTTCATGCCCACACCCTGTACTCTGCACACTCTTGGGAACCAGTCAGACTCGGGCTTCTAGGTGACTGGTGCCAGCTCGCCCAGCCCAGCCTGTGGCTGCATGCCCAGCTTGGCACCCACCTTCACCCAGCTGCCCACAGGGACACCCTTCAGCCCACCCTGGCTCCCACTTCCTCTGGGGCAGGTCCAGAGCTGGGACATTGTCAGCCAGAGGAGCTGGGAGGCCAGGCTGGGGCAGTGGCCGTGGCAGGGCGGGCCAGGCCTACCTGTCCAGCTGCAGTCGCAGGGGTGATGTGCTCTGGCGGATCTTGCTCTGGGCCTCAGCATGAAGCATCCCCGCTGCACTCTCCCCATTGATGGCCACAATGACGTCCCCGGGCCGGAGGTCAGCGGCCTCAGCCTTGCCCCTGGCATTTACCTTCGAGGATAAGGGCCAGTGAGCCTGCAGAGCCCATGCTGGGACACACAGGGAGGCTGGGCTGACTTCTGGTCCCCCCTCTCCCCGTGGTGTTGGCCAGCTAATTGGCGGGTTACCTCCCGACACCCCAGAGGCAGCCCCCCCTACCAGGCAGCCTAAGGAGGCTGCCCACAGAGTGCTCGATGGCAGGCTTTCAGGACCAGCTGGGAAATCTTGCACAGAGAGCCCTGCCCGTGCAAATCACACCTTGCCAGTGACTGCCCGCACCCCGCCCTCTGCATGCACCCTGGCTCGGGCCGGCTGGAGAGGACACTGCCCAGCACCCCCAGGGGCTCCCGAGCTGTGACCACCCCAAATGACCCCCAGCCAGTGTGGGGTTAGTGACCCGGAGGAAAGGGCAGGCTGTCCTCTCCCGTCCACTCCCTGGAAGCCTGTCCCTGAAGTGGCCCCACATCCCACTCGACAGGTCCCATATTCATACCCATCAGCACTGCCGCCCACAGGCCTCAGGCTCCAGAACTGAACCAGAATGGCACCCGGGGCCCGGGTGGACAGGGCGGGCCTAACTTTCAGGAGAGCCCTGCTGTCCTGGAACCAGCCCTTACCTTGGTCACCATGATGGGCGTGTGGAAATCCCTGCCCCCGGTGATGCGGAAGCCCCAGGGCGCCGGCCCCACCACATCCACAGTGAGCGCCATACCTGAGGAAGAGAGGGTCAGGAGGCGGGCTCTAAAGGGGGCGGCAGGTCCCGGAGCAGCCTGGCAGGGCTGGGGTGCCGAGGGTGGGTAGAGGAAGTGCCTAAGTCCCGCCCTCCTCACCCGAGTTTCACTTCCCGCACCCTGGGAAGCCGATTCTGAGTTCCCCAACCCCATGGGCTTCAGCTGGGCAGGCAGCTGTCCCACCGCGGGACAGGGGTGCACTGGAGAAGGGTGGGCAGGGGTGCCAGGTGGAGGCAGAGAGCCACATTTCCTCCCTCTCCCCTCCTCCACCAGCGAGCTACGTCTCTCTAGTGTTTGCTTCCTGTCCCCAAAACTGACAGCACAAGGTACTTCCTCCCTACTCTGGGGGAGGGCAGGTGGGTGGCCTGGGGACAGCAGGGCTCTGGCACAAGAGGGTGGCGAGGAATGGGGTTGGCCCTGCTAGGCTATGCCGAAGTCTTTAGAGGGGCTCGCTGGCTGCCTGCCCAATGCTGACAACGTGGTTCAGAGGGACAAGAGCCAGCTCTCACCTCGCTCCGGGCCTGCTGCCCTAGGAACAGCCCCGGCCTCATCTGCCAAGTGGGGCACACCCACCCCTGGTACCAGCCCGCAGGGTGAGCTGCCCGATGCTGCCTGCCAGCTGGGGCCACAGCCTGCAGTCTACTGCCCCCTCTTCTGGGCACGGGAGTGTTCGTGCAGACCAGGCCCTCATGGGATTTCCCGAGCCTGGAGGTCTGAAGCCAGGAGCCAACCCTGGCAGGAAGTTGCAGTGCCAGGCCAGGCACCACCCAGCCCAGCACCCATCCGGGGCAGCCCCTGGAGAGGTCTGGAGAGTGCTGCCCTGCCGGATCTCTCAAGAACCTCTGGGGTCTGGGGAGGGAGGGCACCCTCAGGCCAGCGGCCTGTCTGTCCCACCTGGGCCAGCTGGCTTCCCTTTGGCCCCGGCTTGGCCTCTGTCCCTCCTCGGGCCCCCAGGCCAGCGCTGGAGACACAATCGCTCTGAGATTTCCCAGACCTTTGAGCCCGGTGGACTCCGAGCTGCAGGCAGGCGCTCGCTCGGGGAGGGGCCCAGCCCTGTCGGCCCGGCTCTCCCAGTTCTGGAGCCTTTTTAGCTCGGAGGCCAGTGTAGTCCCATGTAGTCCCGTGGACGTGATCCGGAGGCTGGGATGGGGGAATCCCAGGACACAGGATCGCTGCGGAGCGCCTGTGCGGGGACCGCCGCTGTCCGTCGGGGTAGCGTCGTGCGCAGGTGGGCGCGCGCTCACCTGGCTCCGCTCACCTGTTGCGCTGCGCTGGGCGGCCGGGCCGGAGCGAGGCCAGAGGGAGGCAGAAGGGACGGCGGCTGCGCCCGCTGCCGCTGTCTGCCAGACTCGGGAGAGCGCGCCCGGGGCTCTGGGACCTGCTCCGCCCATGCGATCCGGGGCCGCCCCTGCCGCGCCCCTGGCCCGGGAAGCCGCCGCCTCCGCCTCCGCGCCTCCGGGTCCCGCGCGCTGCCACCTGGCTCCTCGAGAAGACCGGTGACAGGCGAGGACCCCGCATCCTGCCCGCCGCCGGGAGCGCAGAGCAGCTCAGGGGTCAGCGCCCCGGCCCGGCCCCTCCCAGGCTGCCGACGCCCAGGCTCTCCGAGGCTGGCCGCGTCCGGCCCCGCACTTCCAGGGGGCCCTGATCTCCGTGCCCCGTGCCCGAGCGGGCAGGGCTGGCTGGGTCCCTCCACCCGCTCTGGTGCGGTCTCGCACCCACAAATCCGAAACCAGCGCTTCCCCATCCCTGTCCTGGACGCCAGTCGGCGGCTGGCTTGTCGCGGCCTGGCTCCCTGTGCGCAGCGCCCGGCGCCCCTGCCTGATGCCCGGGAGCAGTTCTCCTGTAAGCCCCGCGGCCCAGGGTGGGGGAGCAGGGGAAAGGCCACCCTGCCTGGAGTGCGTGGGGCGGGGGAAGCCCGAACCATCACCAGTGGCCTGGGCTGCCCCTCCCTAGCCACCCGGTGAGCAGGCTCTGGGAGTCAGGCAGGACAGCCGAGCAGGGGGCCCAGGTGCCCCGTGGTTCCCCAGGGCCATACCTGGCAACCTCACCTGGGGAGCTCAGGGCCCGGGCAGCTGCCTCCCGCGTCTCCTGACTTGGCACTCGGGGGCACGCACCTGTGGGCACAGCTGTAACCTGCCTGCCTCAGGTGTGAGTCATCACTAGCGAGATCCCTGGGGAGGAGCGCCTTCAGCACCCTCTTCATTGCCTCTGCAGCTCCTCCTCCCCGCACCCTCAGCTGGCTGCCCCGGTCACCTCTTGCACCCTTGGTCCTGGGTGCGTAAGCCACTCGTCACTCTCTCGGGACTAAGCCAGAGCCTCCTGGAGGGCCGATTTACCTGCTGCACCTGCTCTTCGGCCTTTTGTTTTGGGCAGGTGTGCCAGGAATTGAACCGAGGGCTCACACATACCGAGCACACGCTGTGCAGCTGAGCTGGGTCCCTGCCTCCGGAAGCCCCTTGAGGGAGCAGAAAGCCACAGGCATCTTGACAGATGCCACATCTGCCTTGCTCGGTGTGACCTTGGGCTATTTCCTCAGCTCTTCTGGGCCTAAGTTTTCCCACGTATAATTCACAGCTACGTCCTGTTGTACAAATCACTCTCACATAGGCAAAGTCTGAGGTGTGCAGAAGTGTAAACCAGAGTGCCTGCCACAACCAAAGAAAGGGTGAGGGAGACCCCTGCTCATCCATTCAGTCATCCAACAATATCCATTCCACAAATATTTATTACATTATTTTCATTTGATTTTTTGAGGCAGGGTCTCTCTACATAGTCCAGGCTGGCCTTGAACTTGTGATCCTTCTGCCTCATCCTCCTGAGTGCTGGGATTACACCACCACACTGGACTTCACAAATACTCCTTGAGTGTCCACTGTGCCAGAAACTGCTGTGCAGCCCTCACGGGGACCATCCTCCTCCTCCCACCTTGGACAGGCCATGTAAACATCTCCAGGTCAGTCCACAGGGTTTCCTGCTCTGTGAATTGTGCATTTACCAACCCTCCAGAAGAGCAGATCAGCTGACCCAGGCCACGTATCTCCATGACACCAAAGGGACCTGTCCCTCCCTAAGTGACTCTGTGCCCTGGGTACAAGTCCCTCTCCTCAGCTCCCTGATGGGTGAGCCATTCGGAGGAGGCCTCCGGCCCTCTCTTCTCCTGCCCCTCAGGCCAGGCCAAGGCCCTGTGGTCACCACACAGACTGGGCTTGGCAGGCAGCCCAGATGTAGTGTTCTCTTTGCTGCATGAGAGGTCCCTGGCCCATCAAAGTCAGGGCGTGGACTCAGTTTCTGTCCAGGGAAAAGCAGCCTGACTCTGAGCTCTTTATGTGAACAGAGCTGGGATGGGACCACAGGCCCGTGGGTTCTGATGAGTGGTCACTTCCAGCAAGGAAGGGCGGCACCTGCTGCCGCAGGCCAGGCCCAGGTGAGCTGGGTGGAGGGAGTGGATGGAGCAGGACATGGAGGTCTCCTTCTGCAAGCTGCTCTTCAACCCCCACTGGACCCTAAGCTCAAGGAACCCGCCAGGGTCAGGGCACCGCCCTGTGGCTGCCCCCTCCCCTGCATCCTGAGGGGCTAGGACTGCCCTTCATGGCAGCCACTGGTCTCCCCCTCTGCCTGGGGCGGTGACACCTTACAGACAGGTGAAGACTGGACTGCCAGGAGAATGTCACAGCACCTGCCCCTGGGCCACCCTGACCTCCTCCATGACCCTGCTCCAGGGCCTCTGGACAAGCACTGCGTGGCACTGGGCAGATCCACGCAGCGAGGCGGAACCAAGTTCAGCACTGAGTAACTGTGACTCAGACTCAGACTTTCTCGGGGTCTCGTGCTCTCCTCGCAACTGGAACCCTAAGTGACCAGTCACGATGCCCATGTCAGGGAGCACACGGGCAGTGTCTTACCTCCTGCCTAACTCTCCATAGCAGCCCAAGAATGGAGCTCTCCTATCTTGGAAGAGGAGCCAGGCCCAGGCTGCTCCATCACTGAGGTCCCCCACAAGCCACCAGACCCGTGGCTCTAAAGCTTCGGGCGAGCAGAGCTGTTTTGGCTAGCTGTGCCCTGCCACTCCCAGCTTGCCGCAATCAGTTGCTCTAAAACTTGAGCCCAAAGAAGAAAATAAACAGGCACACAAGCTTCGTGTGGAAACGCAGCCCACAGAAGGAAAACATTAGCAGGAGAATAGTTAGAAATGTCGTCTAATCCAGCAACCCCACGGTGGCAGCTCCAGAATCAAAACAGCCTGTGAACAAGGCCACACTCGGTCCCCAGGTCTAGTTTCTCCCTGGCCATGTGACGTCCACTCTGCACTTCTGGTCTGGCAGCTACCCGGTCCCTGGGGACCGCACCACTTTGCCTGCACCCGAGGGCTGAGATCGTGGAGATTTCGATGGGGTTTTCCCGCCTCCCCTCCCGACCTGACTGCTGCAGCCCACTGCTGGAAGAAGCCCACAGTGCTCAGCAGCTGGAGGAGGACTCAGAGGCCAGGCGCCGCCGGTACCCAGGTTTATTTTCCGTTCTCTTCCAGAAGGAGCGGGGGATGCTGGGGGAGATCTGGGGGGGCGGGGACAACAATGCGGGCCCCCTGGGAACCCTGTGGAACAGGCTTGGTGACCTCTGGGAAGAGGAGGCCCTGGGGGCTACGAAGATGCTGCATCTGTCCCGTCCCCACCGGCTCCCAACCTCAGCTGGAGGCCAGAAGGCAAAGGGACAGCAGGCAAGCGGGAGGGCGGGGCAGCCCTCCAGGCCCAGGAGGCCTTTGGTCTCTCGAAGGTCAGGAGGCTGGTCCTGGTTAGAGGAACCCCACGGGGTGAAGCTGGGAGCCGGTCCCTGTGAGAGAGCACGCACGGCGGAGGGGCCGAAGGGACCGGGGGTCTGGTCTCCATAAAGCCTGGAAACGGCCTCCACTTCAAAGCAGACCTCTGTACTGGGGGCGGGGGCTGTCAGATGCCTGTGAGCTGCGGGTGGGAATCAGTCCAGGGGGCACAGAAGGGGCTCGGAGCAGAGGCTGCTGGGGTCTCCACAGATGCGGGCAGCGCGGGTCTTGGGGGAGGAGGATGTAGGCCCTCCCCCGCCATGTGTTACTGCTCTCCACTCCACCCTGGCTGGCTCCAAGTTGCCATGGAGATCACTCACACCGGGGCGACATAATTTCCAGGGAATGTCCCAAACTTCTGGGTCCTCCGGGAGACACCTCAAAGAGGAAAGATGAAGGAAAAGCATTTCCCACACAGCCTGAACCACGAATGTGAGGGGGCGCCGCCTGCTGGTCTGGCCCAGAACTGCGGGTAGGGGCTGCTTTCCTCATTCCTGCCCCCTGGTGTCAGCAGTTTAGCTAGGCAAAGTTACGCCTCCCAAATTCCAAAATCAAATGAGAGCGACCAGCAAATGTGTACAACTTTGCACACAGCACTGAATCACTTCACCTTTCTTCTTCTTTTTTTCTTTTCTTTTCTTTTTTTTTTTTGTTGAGATATATCGTTTTGCACTGTAGTTTAGGCTGGCCGTGAACTACGTAGCAAGCAAAGGTTGACCTGAAACTCATGGCCATCCTCCTGCCTCAGCCTACTGAGTGCTGGGATTCTAGGTGTGCACCACCACACCCGCATCTCCACCCTTCTTCGTGAAAGCCAGGAAGCACTGAAGGATGAATCACAGAGCTTTTACCAGGAGGAGCCTCACTGGTCTAGCATGGCGTCCTCATTCCAGAGAAGGGTGGGGAAGGCCTAAGAGGTCAGGTGAATTGCCCAAAAGCACTGCTGTTGAAGAACTCTCCTTTGAGAAGGAGGGAAAGGCTAGAAATCCGGAGTGTGGAATGAGTGAGCCCGGGGTGAGCTGATGCCCCGGCCCCCTCCCATCTGCCACCCTGACTTCTGGCCCTCACTGATGCCCTTGCTGATGCTGGGCCCTGGGCGCCCCCTTTTCCCTCTGGCCTGCCTTTCTGGGCCTAGTGCCCACTTCCTCCACGAAGCCTTCCCTGCCCTGCCCGGGCCAGACTGAGGACCACCACATGTGTCCCATGGGCTCTTGAAAGGTGGTGTGCTATGTGACGCAGCAGTGGGGCTTTTCATTTTCTTTCATTTTAACTCATGTAGATTTAAGCAGCTACATGTGGCCAGCAGCTACCACTCTGTGAGTGCAGATGCGCACGGTGCTTCTGAGGGCCTGGGGCTTCTACCCCAAGACTCTGTAAAGATTTGCAAACTTTAGCAGCAGCATAGAAGAATTCGAAAGCAAAAGTATACAGAGTAAAATTAGAATGTGTCCTTCAACACCCCCTTAGAAGTAAGGACTATGAATAAGTTATTGCTTAGTAATTATTTGTATGGCTAGGCATGGTGGTGCACGCCTGAGATCCTAGCACTAGAGAGGCTGAGGCGAGAAGACTACCACAAGTTTGAGGCTAGCCTGGGCTACACAGTGAGACCCTGTCTCAAAAAACAAAAAGAAAAAAAGAATACTTGTGTATCAGAAGTTTGGCTGGCACTGGCATACTGGGATTTAGGTCAGAAAGAGCAAGATGCCACATCAAGGGTGTCCCTGTAGCCTAAGGGACCTCGGGCCCTAAGGTCTGCCTGTTGAGGGCAGGCTTCTGGCTGCTCACATCCATCTTGGCCCATTCCGTGAAGCTGAGGCCTGAACAGGGGCTGCCCACCGGGGGAGCCAGCCAGGTGAAGCCTGGCAGGGTCACCCTGAACCGGGCCAGAGCACACCTGAGGCTTCCTGTGTCTGGGCTGGCCCCAGCCAGCATGAAGGCCCAGATCTCTTGCTATTCCCTCCTCTTCCCAGGCGTGGGACCATGTCCTTCCCTCCAGGAGCCCTGGCCCAAGATACAGCAGGGGCTCCTCCAGGACCCTGGGCCAGGCCCCTCTGCAGTCCGTGCAGGAAGCAGTAAGAGAATGACTGGCTTTGGGGGAGCAGCCAGTGCCAGGTGGGAAGCTGGGTGTGTGCTGTCAGGCTGGCAGGCAGCTGCAGCCCACTCAAAGGCCCCTGGGAGGGCCGGGGGTTTAGCTCAGTGGTTTCGCCGCCTGCTGCACAAGCGCAAGGACCCAAGTTTGATCCCCAGTACCAAAAAAAAAAAAAAAGGACCCTGGGACCCTGAGATACCCCTTCCAGACCACCCCACAGGCATCCTACCCCACATACCCACAAACCAGCCATCATCACACTGCTGCATGACGTCCACCCGGTCCCCTGCACGCAGCTCCAGCTCATCCTCATTCTGTGGTCTGTACTGGTACATGGCCCGGTACCTGCAGTAGATGCAATGCGGCAGCCAGAATTCTCCTTAACCTTTCCCCAGACTGGGCCGGAAGTTGAGGCTCAACTAAGAGCTGCCACTTCCTGTGAATGTCTCAAAGTCCCCCCAACGTACCCCTCCCTGCACCTAAATTCCCTGGATTAGGGGTGGCCCAGCAAGCTGTTGCACTGAGAGCTCTAAGAGGTTCGCCACCACTGCTCTAGAAGCTCTGCAAGGACAAGCGCCACTTGGGAGGAGTTTCCAAGCCCAAGGTGGGGGTCAGGTGCTCTGCATTGCCTGCAGCAACCCCAGTGCAGAACGAGCGCCCTCAGTGGTAACTCACGGGGTCCAGTGGATCTGTGTAGTGTTGGGGAAGGAGGTATCCGAGGGATGGCTGGGGCCTGGAGGGTGCAACAGAGCTGGTCTAGAGGTGCTGAGACTCTGGTGGTTCACAGGAAGAAAGGAGGGTCACACAGAGGCAGCGCGGGGGGAGGGAATGGGGGTCCCCCTCATTCTTGTGCATCCTGCACATTGTCAGGTCCTGTCTCACAAATCCCTTACGCCCAGGGATGTGCCTGACTGTTTCCCTTTCATGGTGCCAGGAAGTTGGGCCTGGTGGGGTAAGTGACTGTCTTTTTTTTTTTTTTTCCCTGGTACTAGGAATTGAACCCAGGGCCTTTACATTGAGCTACATCTCCAGCTCCCCAATCTTTTTTTTTTTTTTTTTTTTTGAGACAGAGTCTAACTAAGTTACCCAGGTGGGACTCAGACTTGTGAATCTCTTCCCTCAGCCTCCCAAGCCTGGATTATAGGCATCCAGCACTGTGCCCAGCTGAGTGACTGGATTTCTACATAGCAGCATGGACAAAGCTGGGAACCCCGGGAGCCCCACACAGGGCTGCACCTTCTCAGAGAGGGGTGCACAGCCCCAGGGGTATCATCCGTCTCTACCACAGGCTGTGATACCCTTCCTTCAGACCTGTCCATCTGCCCTCCTGGGTGGGAACCAGAACCTGCACTGTCCCGGGGAGAACAAACCCAGGGGTCACACAGCAGGCAGCTGGCACCTGGCTTTCAGCACCACCGTGCGAACGGTGGCAGAGGAGCATCCGGAGGGTCAGGAGGCACGGCCGGGCTTTGGGGTACCACCTAAAGCTGGCTGGCTGGGGAGGTCTGGGGTTCCCAAGGCTGGCTGGGCTCTGTGGGTGACCCCGCCCTGCCCTGGAGGGACTCTCAGCGGGCACCGGCCTGGGGCACACGGCGTGGGGCACGGCCGCCTCACCTGGCTCTGGGGCCTGGGCTCCTGGCTGGGCGCAGAGAAGCCGGTGCGGCGCGGGGAGGCGCGGCCCCCCCTGTCGGCCGGGTCGGCTGGGCTGCGCGGGGCTGAGGGGGAGCCTGGACGCCGGGCCAGGCGGGCAGCAGGGGCCAGGCGGGGAGACGCGGGCAGCTGGGGGCCGTCGTCGCAGACACGGAGCCGGGGCTCACGGCACACCTGCACGTAGCTGGCGGGGAAGATGCCCTGGCGCCCCGTGCCAGTGATGCGCCCCTCGTACCAGTTCTCGTTCACCTTGCGGATCAGGCAGATGCGCTCCCCCTGCGGGCGGGGAGGGGTCAGTGGGGGGGGAGCCTGTGGCTAATCACACAGATGCAAATCCGGCTCTGCCCAGTCTCGGCTGTGTGGCCTTGGGCAAGCTGCTCAGCCTCTCTGAGCCTCTCCTCGCATGTGAAGTGCAGCCAGTGCGCTGCCTCTGTGAGGCGCAGGCCAGATTCACCGCAGGCTCGGGAAGCAGCACTGGCCAGAGGCGCCACCCCCACAGTGACACAGTCCAGCCCCTGCCTCCCACGCGGGGACAGCCCATCATGAATGCATCAGAGCACCAGCCCTGACTCCTGTTGGGGCAGAAGCAGCGCCACCTGGGGCAGGCAGAGGCTTCCTCTGCCCTCCCCATCCAGCCACCAGCTTCCCTCTCTCCCTGGGCTAGGTTTTCTGGGTGGCACTCACAAGGGGCACCCACAGACTCTGCCCCCAAAATAAACCCAAGAGAGACCAGTCCTACTTTCCAGGACGGCATTTTTCAAAATATCTTCAAACAATCTATAGTTGAAAAAAACGCCCTAAGAGCAGCCCCAGAGCACACACGCATCTGCCTAGGGTTTGATAAGTCTCCCCCTCCCTGCCCTTTCGTGGTACCAGGGCCTTTGCACTGAGCTACATCCCTATCCTTTTTAAAAAAATTTTATTTATTAAATTATTTATTATTAAATTTATTTTTTAAATTGCCCAGGGTAAGCTCCAACTTGCAGTCCTCCTGCCTCAGCCTTCCAGAGAGTTAGGATTACAGGCTGTGCCACCAAGTCACTCTCCTCTGGTGTTTTTGGGGTTTTTTTTGGTACCAGGGATCAAACTCTGGTCCTTGCACTTGTGAGGCAGGCAGCAGAACCACTGAGCTAAATCCCGGCCCTCATGCTCCTCTGTTTTTATACTTTTTTTTTCCAGTGCTGGGGATTGAACCCAGAGCCTTGTGCATGCTAGGCAAGCGCTCTAACCCCCAGCCCAATAAAGTACCCTTTCTACATATAATGCAGTCTAATATTTTTATCTCTTCCTTTAAAAATACAAAGTATGATCCTCATGGCCTAACAGCATGCAGCTGAAAAAAGAAACTCTAGAAGTTTGTAACAATCTTTTAAAAACGGACTATACTATGGGGAACATATTCTAAGAGACTGGTGGGAAATGTGAAATACTGCATGCAGGTGGGTATACCTGACTCTAAAAAAGCATTTTTTTGGCTCTTTCACCTACATCTTCACCTGAGCCCACGGCCCCTGCCACCTCCCCACCCACCTTGCGGAAGGACAGCTCCACCTCCAGCTCCCCCTTGAAGGTGTACTGGGCCACGGCTTCTCCATACTCCACCACCTGGTAGGTGGGCGGCTTGATGGGCTTGGGGACCTCATCTGCTGGCAGCACCTGCAGGAAGGAAGTGAACCAGACAGATGAGATGTGGGCATCCACCGGGCATCCACCGGGCACCCACCGGGCACACCTGGGCCTCCCTGGGGGTAGAGGCAGCAAAGAAGGTGGTATGGGCAGGAGCTCCCTCGGCCAAAGGGAAGGCATCTGCCCTAGACACTGACGCCAGACACAGCCCTGGGGGTGGCCAGGGTGGGCACTGCCAAGGGTGTGAGGCGCGGAGTCCAAGGCTCCCTAGCTGGTGTGGTGGCACACATCTATGATCCTAGCTCTGGGGAGGCTGAGGTAGAAGGATCTCCATGAGTTCAAGGCCAGCCTGGGCTACACATGAGTTCAGGACCAGCCTGAACTACGTAGTGAGACCGTCTCAAAGAAACAAAAAAGAAAGAGGAGGTGCAAGAGGAGGAGGAGTCAGCGGCTTCCTGGAGGAAGAACCTCAGTGAGGCAGTGGAGCCGGCACTGTGGGGCGGGGAAAGGCAAGTGCAAAGGTGAAAGCTCATCCAATTTGAGAGCTTGAATTGGCCGGCAGCAGAAAGTGAGGACTGAGTCACAGGGAGGGCCTGGGGGCCTGTCCTAAGGTGAGGTGGTGCCACCTGTCATCACTGTTGAGAACCCAGTGACCCTTGGTTCAGTGTCTTGGTTCCTCTCCTTCTACCCCACCAGGTACCCAGAATCCCAATGTTCTCTTTGTTTCACCCTGCTCATAAAAATTAAGAACCCAATCAACTATTTCCCCACTAAGATATAAATAACTGAGCCACGTGTGGTGGCGCATGCCTGTATCCCAGCACTCAGGGGGCTGAGGCAGGAGGATCACAGCAAGTCCAAGGCCAGCCTGAACTAGGTAGTGAGAGCCTGTCTCAAAAAACAAAACAGAATAAGATAGGAATAACCGATGGAGTAGAATCCTGTACACCGTGAGACTTCAGAATCACAGGGATTAACCTGTTAGCAGAGGAGGCTGATGATGCCTATTAAATCAAGAGCCTGAATTAAACAATAGCCTGACCCATGGATCAAACAGGAAGTGATGAAATGAGATAATTCAAGTGGAATGAAAAAAAAATCAACACTTGTGAGATGCAGCTAAAGCAATGTTTAGAGGTAAACTTATAGCATCTAATGTTTTTATTAGGAAAAAAGCTTCAAGTCAATAACCTAAATGTACACTCCAAGAAACTAGAAAAGAAAGGGCAAATTAAACCTAAAATAAGCAAAAGGAAGGAAATAATAAAGAGGCAGAAATAAATGAAATTGACCAAAAGAAACTATAGAATTAAAATGTGCAAAAAAAGAAAAGAATTGCCGGGGATTTAGCTCAGTGGTTCCGCCACCTGCCTCACAAGCACAAGGACCCGAGTTCAATCCCCGGTACCCCCCCAAAAAAAAAAGATGTGTTATACACATGGACACATGGACACAAGGAATGGAATCATTATATACCACAAACATGGACTAGTAAAAATTTTAAAAATTAAAAAATAAGTTTCTAGCCAGAATACAAATTGCCAATATCAAAAATGGAAAAGAGAACATCACTACACATTTTACAGACATTAAGAGGACAATAAGCCAGGTGTGGTGGGACATGACTATAATCCCAGGACTCTAGGAGCCCCAGGCAGGAGAATCACAAGCTTGATATTGAGATCAGCCTGGGCAACTTATCAACTTAGAAAGAACCTGTCTCAAAATAAAAAATAAAAGGGATGGGGATTGTAGCTCAGCAGCACCATGCCTACCTGACAAGCACAAGGTCCTGAGTTTGATTCCCAGTACCAAATAAATAAGTAAATAAATGAAAGGACCAGGGATGTGGTTTTGTGCTCAAATGGTTTCCTGGCACAGAAGGCCTTGGATTCAGTCCCCAGTGCCACAGAAAAGAGGGGTGGGGGAATAATCAAGGAATATCATACGCAACTTCATGCTAGTAACAGTTTTGGTTTGTTTTTTTTTTCAGTACTGGGGAAACTGTGTTATATCCCCTGCCTTTTAAATTTATTTATTTATTTATTTATTTATTTTTGGTACCAGGGATCAAACTCAGGACTTTGCGCTTGCAAGGCAGGCACGGTACCACTGAGCTACATCCCTGGCCCCCTTTTTTATTTTTTGAGCCAAGGTCTTGCTAAATTGTCCAGGCTGGGCTGGAATTTGAAATCCTCCTGCCTCAGCCTTCTAGGATTGCTCAGATTATAGGCATGCAGCAACCCACTCAGCTAATTGACATTCTTAAAGACACAAATACTAAAGATAATCTAGGCTAACCTAGGTTTCTATGGGTCTAGAACCTGTCTTTCTGGAATGGAGACATCTGCATTACTTCATATCTTCTCACTGAAACTCAGAAACCCCATCTGTGAAATGGGGACAATCTATGGCCCTCAGGCAATGGGAGGAAAAGGAGGTGACACACCAGAATGAAGTACTATGTTCATGTGACTCCTAAATTGTCATACACTTCACATTCTTGATAATTACCATCAAGATTATTTATGAGGACAGCTTTAGGAAGCCGATTCACAGCCAGGTGTGTTGCTGCATGCCTGTAATCCCAGCAGTCGGGAGGCTGAGGCAGGAGGGTTGCTATGATTTTGAGGCAGCCTTGGCTACAGAGTGAGTGCAAGGCCAGCCTGAGCTACATAGCACGACTCTGTCTCAAATAAAAATAAATTAACTAGAAAGACAGATTCGAATGGTAAAAGCCTAGGACACCGATGGGGTGGTGGCTTTGGGTGAGGATCAGGGCCACATGGTCCTCTCCTGGGCTCAGCTTCGCCCTCATGCAGCATCCCAGGCGCACACTGAGCACTGGGCCGGGTGGCATCTGGCCCTGAGTCCCGCATCTCAGGAACCCTAGGGTCTGCACCCTAAGGCCTCCCTGTGCTGCTCACCTCCACGTGGTTAGCAGGGAAGATGCCCCTCCGGCCATGGTGCTCCCCCTCCAGCCAGTTCTTGTCCACCTCCTTATGGATGTAGACGATGTCGCCCTTCTGCAGAGTCAGCTCCCTGTAGGCCAGAGCCAGGGCGTCGCAGCCAGCCAAGGCCTCCAGACCGCCTTTCCCACTGCAGGCCCTGCCCAGGGACCCTGAACCCCCCACTCCTCTGGTCCACTGAGCACCCCATCTGCAAGAGCAGAGAGTGCCCAGGGTGGAGGGGACAGCTTGGCAAGGCCGCTTACTTGGGGGACTGTGCCTGGAAGTCGAACTTGAGCCGGGCAGCCTTCCTCTGGACAGGGGAGAGGACAGAGTGGCTTTCTCAGTCAGGCTGGGCTGAGGCCCAGGCCCGTGGCCCCCCCTCCCCCCGTACCTTCTTCTCTTCCTTCCTGGCTGGGCTGCCACCTTGCTCAGGAGCCCTGGGGTCTGCGGAGGAGACTTGGGCAGGCCACGTCAGGGAGGAGGGGCTGGGCTGGGCTGGGTTAAGCCCCCCCCCCAGGCAGGCCCAAGGGAAGCGAGGGGCCAAGACCTCCATCTCCCCTGGGGCACAAGCGGGATTTGGTCCTTACCTTGGGCTGAGGACGGGTAGACAAAATCTCTCCGGCCTAGGAAGGGGCTTCCTCCTCCATCCGCCATTCTGTGGGGGCTCAAGGGTCGGGAGGACCCCAGGTAAGGGGCATGCGGGGAGCCGGAGCTCCAGGCTGGGGCGGGGCTGCAGGGACAGGGGGACTGAGCCACCTGTCTGGGGCTTCGCGCCCACAGGCTCAGGCTGCACCTCCCTGGACCTCCAGATCTCCCCACACCCCCCTGCAGGCCCTCAGCTCCCAGGGCGTCTCCGGGTCTGGGCTCGCAGCAGGATGTCCGACTTCCCGTGCTCAGCGGGGGCAGGAATGGGTGAGGCTGGGGGCGGTGAAAGGCCGCCGGGGTGCGCGGGCGTGGCGGGCCCCTGTCCGCTCTGCCACCCAAGTTCCGGCCAGCAGCCCGGGGTGGGGGTAGGGGTCGGCCCCGCAGACAGCGCGCCCCGCGATGCGACCCTTGGGCCACTTTTCGCCCTCCAGGACCCTCCAGCCGCCAGCCCTCGGGGCTCTGGTCCCGAGCCACGGCCCGGCCCGGCCCGGTCCGCAGCGTCCCGCATTCACGAACTTACCGGGCCGGGGTCCGCTGCTCCGTGGCCCGTCGAGGCACCTGTGAGCTCTGTGCCGGGAGACAGGGCGCCGTGAGGCCCGGACCCCGAGGCCTCCTCCCCCGGAAAAGTTCCCGGCCGGAGGGCAGGCGGAGGCGGGAGGGGCAGGCGGCACGCGGGGTCCTAGAGGCGCCGCGCGGGAGGGGAGGGGAGGGGCGGGCGAGGGAAAGGGGAGGGAGAAGAGGGGAGTCTGTGGCCGGGAAGCGAGGCGGGTGGGGTCGGGGTCCGGGACGCGGGGCGGGGCGGGGCGGGGCCCAGCCAGATGTCAGGCTGACGTGGACTGGTGGTTTGTGGGGCCTCCTAGGGGTCACTTGGAAAGTGGACGCCCGGTGTTTTGGAGGTGACAGCGGACGGGGCAAAGTCCACCCAAGGTCCCTGCATCCTCCCTGCCCTCCACCCAGCCTGGCTGCGCGGCCAGGGGTCCCCTAGGAGGACCCAAGGACGCCGGTACCTTGGGGGACGGCAGGCGGGTCTCAATGGCCCGCAGGTCCTTGTCCAGCTCAGCGCTCAGGTTGGCCAGCTCTCTCTCCAGCAGGACCTGAGCAGCAAGGGGCACGCACACTGTGTGTGTGTCTGTGTGTGCGCACCTGAGTGCGTCAGGGGTCTGGCTAGGTGGCCATGCTGGGATTAAGGGCAGCTGGAAGCTCCAGGGCCCAGGATGGGCTCCCTGGCTGTGGGCCTGGGGGACACATGTGGCTCCTGCCTCTCTCCCCACCCTGCACTGCAGGGTGCTAGTGGTGTCTTATCACTTCCTACCTGTCCCTTCCTACCGGTTTTCACGTTGCTCCTCTGTCCAGGCCTGTGGAACCCCGTTTCCTCACCATCTCCTCCACAGCCTTCTCCCACCTGGCTTCCTGGTACCCATGCAGGCTCCCCCCACGCTGCCTGCCCCAAGGGGCTGAGCCTCACACACACACAGGTGCTCGTGTACACACACCCTGAGGGGCTGATTCCCCTGTCTCCTCTCTCTCTTTCCCCTGGTATTGGTGATAGAACCTAGGGGCACTCAACCACTGAGCTACATGCCCAGATTTTTAACTCTGTATTATGGGACAGGGTCTCACCAAGTTGCCCAGGTTGGACTCGAGTTTTTGCTGTCCCTGCCTCAGCCTCCCTCAGTGGTGGGATTTCGGGCATGCACCACCCTGCCCAGCTGCCCTCCGGTCTCTCTGGACCTCAGCTGCATGACATCATGAGAATACTTCCTGACAGTTCAGCCCACACTGACCCGCCCCTCCCTGCTCCAGCTTTGGTGCTCACATGTCTACTCAGCATGTGTTTATTATCCTGTATACGGTGTGTGTGTTTGTATGGCAGGTACTGTCTGGGTCCTGGGATAGAGGTGAACTTTATGGGAATGGAGGCAGAGCCTCTGGCCCATCCCACATTCCCCAGGGTCCCCACACAACCCAGAATTTCCCTTGTTCACTCCCACCCGAGTCTGCAGCACTCACCTCAATGGGCTGGGAGGGCTTCTCAACAGGATCATCCACCAGCGGCTTCTTGGGCTAAAGGTGGGAAGGGAGTGTCAGGGGCTGGACCCACTTCCCAGATGCTGCAGCTGAGGGCGCGTCCACTCCCAGAGCTCCCGGCCCACACTCACCTTCTGCCCAGTCTCTAGTTCTTGCAGAAACTGGTTCCAGGACTCTTCTGTCCAGACATTGTCCACTTTCTCCTGGCGTCTGAGCACCTGCAGGGACGTACGTGGGTGACCATCAGCTTGAGTAATGGCCCATCGGCTCACAATGCCGCTTTCAGGCCCCGCCCGGGCCCGGTGTCTCCTGGTACCCTCTTAAGGATCCAAACTGAAAGGGTACTTCCTGTGCCAGACAACAGGCATCTGGGGCCAGGTGGGGAGCATGCTGCAGGGCTACCTGATTTGGGGGCCGGAGTCCCAAGGATCCTGCCCCAGGAGTATAGTTGAAGGTGCTTCCAGGTAGCTCTTGGGAGCGATCCCAGCTTCTCCTGCAGAAAGGGAAGGACATCCCTGTAGTTTTCTTTTAGGGGAACTAAGGAATAAGGGAGCTCACAGTCCTGGGAAAAGGAGCTGCACCCCATCCCTTCACCTGGGCCCCAATCCCTCCTGTGCTGCCTCTGCCTGCCCCAGCCCCTTCCTGGGGAAGCAGTGTGAGATAGTGGTGTGTGTTCGAGCTCCACCACCTAGTAGCTGTGTGACCTTTCAGCAACTTAGATGGCACCTCAGGCTCAACACCTGTAAAACGGAGGGAATGTGAGCCAGGTACCCAGGAGCCCTGACACAAACCTGCTTCCTGGGGGGCCAGGCCCTTTCCTGCTGGCCTTGGGTAAACCCAGCTGCCATGGCTGGGTGGTCTCACCCCATGGCCCCTCCTATTGCAAGGAATCCCTGGCACAGCACTGCCTGGAGCCTGGGCCAGTTGTTCTGCTCCCTGGGCCTTGGCTCCATGGGGTGCTGCATTCAGGGGCCTCAGCCGAGACCAGCTCAGCCTCAGAGGCACTGCTCTGACCCATCCACCTTAGCTCCCCCAGATTTCCCTTCCTGGCTGCCTTTGGTGTCCCAGTCTGTTTTTAGTTTGAAAGTTTCTACCAAGTGGAACCACTGTATCCAGCTTATCAAATGATGGAATGTCTGCCCAGAGGGTCAGACTCTGTTGGCTGTAATTATGACTCTACTCTGATTTTAGTAATAATAAAAGCGATCATAAGAATGGAATGTGTCATTGCTCATCTAAGGAGGCTGTGGTCCTAACTGAACCGGTGTATTACTAGTGTTTTCGAAAACTCGCTGCGTGCCAGGCGTGACAAGGGTGTATACACGATCTCAATCAATCCTTGCTATCACCCAAAGTCCCCGATTATGAGAGGGACGCTGAGGCTCAGAACAGTTAAGTAGCCCAACACCACATGGCTGAAGGCAGTGCACTGGTTTGAACCCCAACTCTGGGTCCAGTCTGGAGATTTTTTTTTTTGGTACCAGGTATCAAACTCAGGACCTTGTGCTTGCAAGGCAAGAGAAGCACCACGGAGCTAAATCTCTGGCCCTACCATCACCATCATCACCATCATCACCATCATCACCATCATCACCATCATCATCATCACCAGAGACACAGGCCAGTTATGGCAATGCTAGTGAGCTGGTGACGTCCAAGACCTCCTGGATTTCTCTTCGAGAGCAAAGCTTCCAGTTGTCTCCCTTCACCTCTTGTTTCAGCCGCATCAGTGCAAGGACCAAGCTCATCCATGCTGCTTTTTTTCTCTCAGGTGTCAAAGCAGTTGACCACAGGTCCAAGCTGCCCTCAACAGCTCTGTCCACAGGGCCCTGACACTTCCCCCTCCCTAAAGTGACTCATAGATCTTTGGGGGAGGGGGTTGGGTTTCTCCTGAAGACTACAGACGCAGGACAGGCGCTCCTGATTAGGAATGGCCGCCTTTCCCCTTTTTCCCTGGCGGCCAGAAAATCGGGCAGTAGATCCAGAACCCTTTGGGGCTGTGGCCACGAGGGGGCGCAGGTCCTGGGAGTAGCGCCGGCCCGCCTCCTGCAGCCCTACCCACAGCTCACCCTCTGGAAGCCGCGGCCATGCCAGACCTGGGGGCAGCTCTTTGCTGGGGTCCTGGATGCCTGGGGTCTGCAGAGGATGCGTAGGAGATCACTGTGGGTAGAAGAAGACAGGCAGGGGCAAGGAGGTGCTCATTATACTTCCAATGTAGCACCACCTTCACCCTAGCTCCTGGGTAGTCGGTTCACAGGGACAGGGGTAGCGCTCCTAGCCACCCAATGTAGGCTTTGTGCCAAGGGCTTTATGTTCTACAAAATCAATTTTTTTTTTGGTACTGGGGATCGAACTTGGGACCTTTTGCTTTCAAGGCAGGTGGTGGCACCACTGAGCTAAATCCCCGGCCCCTCTACAAAATCTTTAAAACAATTCTAGGGTAGGTGGTGTCCGCATTGCACATCACCTACCCATTGGGGTAGGTGAAGAAAGACAGGCCCAAGGAAATCTGGCCAGGGTGTGGCAAGGGAGCTGGGGCCTGTTTATTCATTTGTTTGTTTGAGACAGGGTCTCCCTATGTAGTTCAGGCTGGCCTTGAACTCACTGTGTAGCCCAGGCTGGCCTCAAATTTGCAGCAATCTTCCTGCCTCAGCCTTCCGAGTGCTGGGATTACGGGCATCCACCACCATGCCTGGCTGAGGCTGGGACTCTTAATTACCACCTGCCAGGGGAGTTGAACTCTCTGAAAGCTACCAACACCTTTCAGGTCAAACCACACCACCTGTCCCACCCTCTAAAGGCACCCTGGGGCTGCACATCTCAGCCCCCACACTAGGCTGGGGTAATGGGTGAGCCCACACCCCCTCACCTCTAGGTGGGTCCTGGAAGGTCCAGTCCAGCTGCAGGTCTGGGGAGCAGAAAGGACCAGGTCACACGTGGAACAGAAAGTGAGCCGGGCGCCCTGGGAGGCTGCTGGTCGCTCTCAGCCTCCCTCCCCCCCGCCCCAGGGGGCTGAGGGCTGAGTCAGGGCCCTAAGAATGTCCCAAGGGGGGGAAGGAATCGGAGGCAGCTCTTGGGAGGGCTTGAAATGCCTCTGGCAGACGCCAACCGGGCAGACCTTCTTGGCCGTTCCCATACACACCCTCCCGGCCTGCAGACCTGCCGGCCACCAAGCTTGGGAGGCTGGACTCCCCTTCAGCTCTTCCCCTGCCCTCCATGTGCCCTCTTCCAAATGTCCTCCTTCCCCATGGGAAGAGCTACTGACCAGCCAGCCACTGCTCCCCAGCATGCTACAGTGCCCCACATGGAGGCCCACTGTCCCTGGCTCCTAGGGTTTCCTGCCTTTCCCAGCAGACTGACTACCCTAACTCACGACACCCTCCCCCACCAACAGGTCTTCAGCCCACTCAATTCCAAATGATCCATGGACAGCAACTGCCATAGCTCACCACTTCCTCCTTTTGGAATTCCTTCCTCACCTGGCTGCAGGGAGAAGACTCGGTTTTCCTCTACCTCCCTGGCCATCCTTCCGGCTGGTGTCTGGGTGGCTCCAAAACTTCTGAACATTGATCTGCCTGTGTGCTCAGCCTCTTGATCTACCTAGGTGACCCTGACTAGTCCTAAGTCCCCTGCCCTCCAGTGCTGGGGACTGAACCCAGGGCCTCACACATGCTAGGCTCCACCACTGAGCTGCCTGTGTAATGTTTTTCTTTGGAGACAGGGTCTCACTAAGTTGCCCAGACTGGCCTTGAACTTACGATCCTCTTGCCTCACCCTCCTGAGTAGCTATGATTACAGGTGTGTACCCTCCCCCTGGGTTGAGGCTTTTCAAATCAGTCAACCCCTCTGCATTCACAAATTTCCCATCTATTGATTGAACCAAACCATAGATTGAAAATTTTCAGGAAAAAATTGCATCTGTACTGAACATGTACAAGCTTTTTGTTTTGGCATTATTCCTTACACACTGAGTACAGCAACTATTTACAAAGCCCTTACTTTGTGCTGGTCTAATAAGCAACCTAGAGATGATCTAAAGTACACAGGAGGATGTATGTAGGTTGTATGTCAATACTGTGCCATTCTGCAATTTGCCTGCTCACACCACTGGGCAGCAGGGAGAGGCTGGTGCTGCGCCTTGTTATACCGGGGCCTTGAGCATGCAGGGATTTCAGTTGGATGCTGTCTGTCCCTCTTGGGTCCTTCCTGAGTTTTTTTTTTCTTTCTTTTTTGGTACTAGGAATTGAACTTGGGGCCTTGTGCTTGCCAGGTAGGCACAGCGCCACTGAGCTACATCCCCAGCCTGTCCCTCTTGGATCCTGAGGGGCAATAACTACCATTTATTCCTGCGATTCACAGCCTTGGCTCCACATTAGAATTACACAGGGAGGGCCGGGGATGTAGCTCAGTGGTTTGACCGCCTGCTGCACAAGCACAAGGACCCGAGTTCGATCCCCGGTACCAAAAAAAAAAAAGAATTACCCAGAGAACTTTCAATGAGAATCTCTTTTGAGTGAGTCCTGGGTATTTCCATCTGCAGCTCAGACCTTAGCTCCGAAATGTACGCTTGGATATTCAGCTGTCTACCGGACATCTCCGCTCGGATGTGACATGGATCTAAAATGAATGCCCTTTCGAAGCCCTCCTCCTGCAGTCCCCTCTGTCTCTGCAGGTCACAACTCTGTCCTTCAACTTGCTCAGGTTTAAGATAATCCTTGACACTCCTCTCAAATGCCATATGCGCCATATGCAATCCATCGGCAAATTCCAGTCATGGTCTAGGGAACACATCCAGAGCCCCACCCTGCCCCGCCAGGTCTGCAGCTGGTGTCCTGGCCCAGCTCATTGCGGTCTTGAGCTTGGACTAAAGCAGAGCTTTTCCCCCAGTGCTGCCAAGCTGGGAAATGGGCCCCTGCTTCTACCATCTCCTATGTACCTGCAGCCTGCGACAGCCTCTCCAGCCACCACTGCCTGAGCACGTACGTCACCCTTCTGCTCACAACCTCCCAGGGGCTGAAGCTCTCTTGCAGAGTAAAAGCCAAATCCTTATCATGGGCCCCAAGGCCATGACAACCTGAGCCTCTGAGCTCTCGGACTCTACCTCTCAATCCTGGCCCTTCTTCTCCATGCCTGTGCTCCAACCCCTGCTGGCCCATGCTTTTCCTCTGGTCTTTGCAGTGTTCCTCCCCTGCTCTGCTGGTGTCTTCCTTCATTCCCAGGGCTCTCTGCTCCGCAGCCACCTGTCAGAGCTGGGGCTGAGGCACAGCTTCCCTGCGTCGGCCACTCCCTGCCCTTTCCTTTTCTCCCTGGCCCATGCACCATGCCTGCTGCCACACTGAAGGTGTATCCATCTACCGTGTGTCTCCCTTTTATCTTAGAATAGTGGTCAGCACACAGTAAGCGCTCAGCAGAGAAACAAGGCGTGACAAATGGGTGAGTGGCCTTGTGGCCACTTCACACACACACACACACACATGCAGGCTGTCGCATTTTGAGTTGTGGAAGAAAGCAATGCTTCAGGTCTAGGATTAATGCAGTAATAGTGTAACTTCAGCCTGGCGGGAAAATAACAGAATTTCAGGGAAGGAGTGCTTCCCTATACCTTAATGGCACTGCTTCCCTGTACCTTACCCTGGCATTGAGGGCAGCAGCTGGTCACTGTCTACCCTGGGATGCTCTGAGGCCACTGCTGAGGACAGGGAGGGCACAGGGAGACTCCTTTCTTTGGCCTGTTTAGGAAGCGCTCACCTCACAGCCTGAGGTGCGTGCCTGCTTGTGTGTATGTGTATGCGCGTGCCCGTGTATGTGTGTGTGTGTGTGTGTGTGTTGTACAATCCCCTAAACTGATAGGTCCCTTTGCTGTCCCTCCCTCCCTCAGCTTCAGTGCCAGAGTCCAACCTGGGCCCTGGCACGGTGGTGTCTAACCTGGCATTTTCCGGTGAATCTGCTGAAACATTCTCCGATACCAGTCCCTGGGGCTGCCAACACTCTGCAATCAGAAAACTCAAAGTCAGGCTTTCCTGCTCACCTACCCTCCCGGGATGGAGCTGCGTGGGTGGGCTGGGGGGGCACCTCTGGTGGCGCCTTTCTATGACAGTAAACATGCACTAAGCATGCAGTGTGTCACGTGTGAGTTAGATACCCAAAGGCCTCCATCAGTCTGTACGGCAGTGACCCTCCATTGTGAGATTCGGGGTGCTTAACATTGTTCCTCTTTGCTTTCCTATAGTTTCTAGTATTCTACAAAGAGCATGTGTTGCTGTGTAATGAAGTGGGGAAATGATAGTATTTCACATCACCCGCCTCCCCAGACCCTGGGAAGGCAGGAGGGGTCTGTCACCAATGCCAGTTGCCTGGTGAGGATACGTGGCTGCCTTGGGACAGGAAGGTGGGAGAGGGACAGGGACTAGCAGTGCTGGGGGACCCAGGACCCTTCCACACCTTCTCACCCAGGGCTCATTCCCTCCTTCTGCCATTCAGGCACCCAGTAACTACTTTGTGATCCCCTGACTGTGCCAGGCCCTACAGAACTAAGAGAAGGGCCTCTGCCAGGCTCAGTTCTTACGGTGGTGCCTCATTCCACTTTGGAGACCCTGGTGGGAATTCTGGACCTGCGGCTCAGACACACAAGGATGCCCCTAACTGTATGAGGTTCAAGACTTCCTGAAACTCATCATCACGGTTGAACTCTTGCTTAGCCTGGAATGGTCAGGGGACAGACTTTATTGCCCCATCTGCAACCCAGCTGATAGAAGTGACAGCTCAGTGTAGGTCCCCAGGCCCCTCCTGTCTGCCCCCGAAGCCTGGACTCACAGATCGGGGGGCGATGGGCATGCCGCTCTCATCCACAGGCCCGATCCCCTCGTACTTGACCCAGCGCTTGTCCCGATGTCTGCTGTCCTTGGTCCACGTGGCTGACCAGTTCTGGCCATGCTGGGAGGTGGGCATCTTTGGGCTTGCAGAGGGCCGGCTCCCAGGGCCCGGCCAGGTCTGGTACCATGCAGGGTCTGTGGGGTGTGTGCAGGACAGCATTAGCTGAGGGCAGGGGTCCCCAACCTGACCTTGTCCCTTAGCTCCTCAGAACATTGATCCCTGTGGGCCCAAAGTTTCAACATGCCCTTGTTTGTGTGAGTAAAAGACGCAGACTCTACAAAGCTCCCCATGCCCAGCAACGCTACAGCCTTCTTTATTTCTTAAAGTAAATTAAAACTGATTTTGTTTTGAGAAAGCTGTGCTGTCTCCACCCCATCCTGCTTTCCTGGGACTGTCCTAAAAGTTTGTGGAATGAGGAGTAGGAATCAACATTTACAGAGAATGCTGGGGTCGTCCCTCTGAGTAGCTAGTGTTGCCAGAAAAGGGCTTTGGGGACAGAAGGACATGAGTGTGACTGTCCATCCAGCCTCGGCTTCTGACCAGCTCTGAGACTCGGCTTCGTCCTTGGGAAGATGTCGATAATTGTACCTTACTTTGCCAGGATGCAGAGGGATAAAATGAGGTTAGGTTTATAAAATGGCTTTACAGGGTCCACAGGTGTAAGTGCTCTTAATTACTGGTTAAGTGTTGGAAGTCCTGCACACAGGGTCTGCCTCATGGAATACTCAATAAAGAACACCCCTTCCTCAGGGTTGGGTTGCACTCAGAAGTCCCTAGGAGCTCTGGGCCAGGCTCTTGGGCCACCTCCCAAGGAGCTGGGCCTTGAGGGGACTCAGTCCCCACCCCTTCCTGACAGCATTCCTTCTGTGACCATCATTCCCAGTCTAGTCCAAGTGATTTCTTGGCTCCTAGAGGTCCCCCTGACGTCGAGGCTGAACGCCAGCATAGTCCCTTCCCCTGGCACTGGGGTGTGTGTGTGTGTGTGTGTGTGTGTGTGTGTGTGTGTGTGTGTGTGTGTGCGCGCGCGCGCGCCTCTGATTCATCTGTTCCTCTTGCTGAGTCAGTGTTCTTGCAGAGGGAGGGACCTAGGGACCTCCCAGTGGCCAGAGAGCCTCAGCCCCTGAACCCTGCTGCATTTCTCTCCGACACAGTGGTGCCAGGTAGCAGGTGCCCCATGGAGCCCCTGGAGCCCCTGTGCCTAAGTGGACCCACCTGGATGTCGGGGAGCATCTCTTGTTGCAGGGATGTAGCCATTACACACAGTCCTGGGCGCAGGGTCATGGAACTGGAAATTAAGGGTGTTGGAGCCACCATTCCGGATCACAGGCACCTGAGGGGAGGGCCAGGAGCGGCAGCTCAGGGCCCAGAGGGTCCCACAGAAGAGGGGGAGGGATGGCTACCAGGGCACAGCCCACCCCCCACGGTGAGGGTCTGAGGGCCACTTGGCCTTTCTGTGGGGCGCTCTCTTCTGACCCCCGTCCCTCCTCCTTATCCCTTCAATCCTGCACCCCCCCCACCTGACCTGCTAGTGTCCCCACCCACAGAGCGCCCTCTTCCTCCGTGCCTCACTCACCCGGGTGCCCCGAGAAGATGGCCCTACGTGGGCCCGGAGGTGGGCCGGGATGAAGTCGTCCAGGCTGAGCCTGGCAGGGAGGCTGCAGGGCGGACCTTGCATGCTTGGATCAGGGTTGGAGGACGCCGGATGTGCCAGCTGCTCCTGTTCGCGTCCTCTGTGGGCAAGGAGAAGGGAAAGACTTGCTGGGCTGCAGGGCCCGTGCCCTCTTGGCTCTCGACCCTGGGGTGGGGAAGGAGGGCCCAGCTGTGGCAGGGTGTAGGGGCCAGCTGGGTGGGAGCTCAAGGACCCAGGAAACAGGCCACTCCGGTGCCTGCCTGCAGGCTGCCCGTGCAGGCTCCCAGAGGCACAATGAGCTGCTTGTTCAGCTCAGGGCAGGAGCTCCGGGTGGGAGTGGGGGAGGGGAGGCCTGGGCCAGGAGCAGGCCTGCAGGCCCACTGACTAGGCCCTCGGAGCTGCCCTGCCATAGCACAAGCAGCAGTCCCAAGGGGAAGGCACCAGGAACCAGGACAGCTGGCAGAGAGGTGCCTGGGCAGCAGGACCTTGTTTCAGTTCCTCTGCCTCCCCTAGGCCCTGGTAGCAGCTGCTTGGCCACAGGCACAAGGAGTTCCGCAGGCCTGCCCAACAGCAAGGCCACCCGCCCACACCCTGTAAGCAGCCAGCAGTGCTCTAGTTCCTAACAGGGCCCAGGAGAGCGTGGGGGGCATTTCCAGGCAGCAGGACCCACTCTAGAGCAACGAGGAAGTGTGAGCTTCATTCTGGCCTCCTTCACAGGCCAGAGACTCAGAGCTTGGGGAGCCAGCTTGGGATGGGGTGGAGAGAGAGGCATCAGTGGGGGCAAAGGCAGTGCTGAGTACCCTCAGGTGTGCTCCTGTACACACGCACACATGCATGCATGCTTGCACTCATGCATACATGCATCCACATGCACTTTATCCTGCACCTCCAGGCTGTTTCGTTTGCTTGTTTGAGACAAGGTCTTGCTATATAGTTCAGGCTGGCCTTGAACTCACTATGTAGCCCAAGCTGGCCTCTAACTTGCAGCGATCCTCCTGCCTCAGCCTCCCAGGTGCTGAGATTACAGGTGTAGGCCACCACACCCGGCTATCATCCAGTCTGTTTAGAATGGCAGGTCCCCCCTGGCAGCACCAAGCCTGACTTGCCAGCAGGTTCCTCTGCCCCACGAAAAGGTCAGGGGAAGGGGTTCCAGGCACCCGGGAGATGGAGGCCTGCAAGAGAAGTCTGGAGGTGGGTGTGAGAGGACAAAGAGGAGGAGGTCCTGCATCAGGCTAAGGGGCTCTTGTACCCAGACAGTGTGGTGCAGAGTGCCACCTCCTCACCTCTGCTTTGGATTGGGCCAGAAGTGGAGCCAACATCTACCACCTCTGGACTGGCCCACATCAGACCTGTCCATGCCTGTGGGGGCTGTGGGGCTCTCAGGGAGGACAACAGATGCTGAGGTGCCCTGTCATGCATCACGTGCAGCATGGTGAACAAGACTCCTGGGTACTGTGGGGGATGGTGTGAGCAGCCTGTGGGTGGGAAAGGGGTGTATATGGATAGCAGGTGCAGGCAGCAAGGTCCTGTGAGCAGCACAGGGGAAGTGGAGATGAAGGTACAGAGCCAGCTGTGAGGCCTCCTCTTCCAGACCCAGTTCCTGCTCAGGCCTTAGGGGACTGGCAAGGGTACAGGGAAGGCTGGGGGTGGCACCCCATCTCTGGTCTGCCTTTGTGGGCATCCTATGGACATCCAAGCAGTCTATTGGGGATGCAGCTTTTCCATGCCAACTCCTGACAGCGGGAGCAACTGAGTGAAGCAGGAGGAGGGGCAGCTCAGCAGCTGGATCTAATTAGGATTCTTACCAAAAGCAAAACATGCAGACACACCCCAGTTCCCGTGGCAGGGCCTCCCCTCACAGGGAAAGTGAGGCAGGGCGATCGAAGATCAGGGGGTGTGGGGCACTTTAGCTCCCAGCAGGCACCCTCCCTGCCCTGCTGACTGCTCCAGGCCAAGTTTCAGGCTCAGCATCAGCAATCCTGACCATCAGCTGACCCGACCTTCCCCCCTAGTGACCCGTCCCACCCTCCCAGCTCCGTGAGAAGTGCCGTCTTGGAGGATGGCCAGGACAAGAAAGTCCCCACCAACACCACCCATTTTCAGGGGCTGCTGATCCTTCGAGCCCCAATCTGCTCTTCCCAGACTCTGCTCATGTGACTGAGGCACCCCCTGGAACATGGGGGGGTCAGGTGGGAAGGGGTCCAGAGCTGCCAAGACATTAGGGGGAGTCTCGGGGAACATGGAGGCATCCCGGGAACTAGTCCCTGGCTAGCAGAAGACAGGGGGTGTCCGACATCTCTGGGGCCCTCCCAGAACTCAGGCAGCGCCGGTCACCCAGGCAGCCAGCTCCAAACAGCTAGCAGAGGCCTGAGCTCTGCTGTGGGTGGCACACTCCTCCCACCTCGGAGCACCAGCCCTGACCTTGGGACTTGGCCTTTTGCTTTCCCAGGTATTTTTCAACTACCAGGATACAGGGACAGGGACAGCGACAGCGACAAGTTTCCTCCAGTTTCGCCTTCTCTGGATGGAGTGGAGGAACTTCTTAGGAACTCATGTTGCTGTCTGGGACAGGGACTCAGGGGAGCGAGCGGTTCTGTGCTCTCCCTCGGGCCGAGCCCCTCCCGGGGTGGCGGCACCTGGCCTCCCCACCCCTCGCCCTCCCGCACCTACCTTCCTCCCTTGGCGAGCAGGTGGCAGGGCCCGGGGCCGCCCGGGAGCCCAGGAGCATCCCGGTCGGGATCCTGCCTGGCGCGGCCGCGGTCTGGAGGAGGGAGCGCAGGGAGACGCGCGGGCCGGCGCGGCCTCGTGACCCGGTCAGGGCGCTGGACCAGGAGGGGCGCGAGGAGGAAGAGGAAGGCCGAGGGGTGCGCGGGGAGGCAGGGCTGAGCGCCGCGCGGCGGGAGGAGCGTGGGGTCGGGGCGCGCGCGGGGACGCCGGTGGCCCTTTGCCGAAGGGGCCGGGCCGGCCGGGAGGCGGCGCCGGGAGGGGCCGCCGGGGGTCCCCTGGGAGCTCGCTCGGGTTCCCAGCTGCCTCCCCCGGGCCCCCACCGCAAGGCTGGCGTCGGGAAAGGGCGGGCGGGCCGGCGAGGGCCACTCAGAGTTTCCAGCGACATTTCCAGGGTGTGGAGCCGGGACAGGGGGCAGGAATGATTAACGAGAACGAGCCGTGAGTTCCAGATACGCCGCTGACCGCCGGGGAGAAGCAGACAGGCTGGGACCGAGATAAGGTCGTTCTGCAGGCGGGGTGGCCCCAAAGGCCCCGCCGCCTCCCCTTTCCCGCGCCCAGGGAGAGTTTGCACTAGCAAGCACTGGCCGGGTGTGTGCAAACAAACAAACGCGCCCTAAATACCAACCAACAAACAAACCAACTAGCACAAGCGCGCGCTGGGGAACGAGCGGATGCTCACACACGTGCCGAGGACGAGGAGGAAATCGGTCTAAGGCCCCGGTTCCCTGGGCGTGTCGCGCCCCTGAGAGGATGAGGGTGGGGTCCCCTGGGCGGAGATGAGGTTAGAGGGTCCTGGTGTTCCCACACACCGTACTTGTTTGATCTCCCAGCTTTCCGCTGTTCCCGCGGCTCTGACGTGGGTCCCAAGGCCCCGCCCACTGGCTCCCGCATCCTCTCTGCCCCCTCTCCCGAGCCTCAGTGCGGCACAAGACCTGTTAAAGAAACTGAGGGCACTTGGTGAGTGTTTATTTACTGACAGTAGGAACAGACTCTGGAGTAGTTCCAGCTCAAGGATCCCCTTGCCCCAACAAACCAACTAGTAGTAGTTACTGATCAACTTCAGTACCGGGAGTGATTGGGGATAAATTATGGAAATAAGGACTATTTATCAGGTACCTACTGGGTGTCCCGTTGGTGCCTGAGTCACCATGGAATTTAGAGAAGCATTCAATTTCACCGTTCAATTCACATAGTGAGAAGAAACGGGATGGAAAATAGGCGGAGCAGTTCTCAAGCCCTGCCACCCTTACTGCTGTCAGCTTATCTTTCGCCCAGCTCTAGCTGTGTGGGAACAAGCACGCAGAGGAAGGGCTTGGGATAGGCATGCCAAGGGCTCCCAGTGTTTGCCCGTTGCCCAGAGAAACAGGCAGGCTGCTCTAGCAGAGGAGGTAGGTCATAGGGAAGCAGTTCTAGGCTTCAAGAAAGATTTGAAAAATGATGACTGGACTCCAAATCTGTGGACTGTGAAGGACTTTTACAAAGGCAACTGTTTCCCAAGTGGGACAACCTTACAAGCTTCTCTTATTCTCTAGGGCTCTGACCTGGACTCCAAGATAAATATTTAATGAGATAACAGACCTTTCAGATCCCTTTTGAGGCCCTCTGCCTCTCCGGGGAAGCTGAAGGCGTGCGGAGGGGTGGGCAGCCGGGCCCACAGAAGGCGGCTGCCAGAGTGGAGCAGCTCAGAGACGCTCCTCGCTGCTCCCCTGAAGTGTAGGGCCATTCACTCACCCTTGGTACCAGCCTCTTCCCTCCCTTGTGGGTAAAATAAGAACCCGTTTCCCTAGTCCCAAGTTTTCCCACCTGTCAGGGTCCTTGGCACTAACAAGGGACTCATCACTTTCATTTTCTTCCTTGTCCTCCAAAGATGGTGAAGCTGAAGATCTTCCAACTCCAGGAGTCCTAGTCATACCCCTCACCAGCTCGAGCTTCTCTTATTCTCTAGGGCTCTGACCTGGACTCCAAGATAAATATTTAATGTAGAGGGTGCTGCTGAGCCGCCAGAGGCCCCAACTTCCTGATTCTCACAGAGAGAGGTGGCAGCCATGGGCAAGGACCTGGGGCTTGGCCACCCACTCCATCTCTATGGGAATGGAGAGCTCAGTAAACAGCTTTGGACAGGGAGGAGGTGCAGGAGGCTCTGCTGGAGACCGGAGCCTTTTCCTCGGCTGGGCTGCCCGCACAGGCCCGGCCGGCCCTGCTGGTTCATCCCCATCTCTCTGGGCTCCAAACCCACCGAGTTCTGTGGTGGTCAGGGGGCCTTGTGGAAGGCAGGATGGAAGATGGCGAGGACCACAGGGTCAGGGAAACCTAAGGAAACCTGACTCATTCCTCCTTGTCTGCCCTTTTTTAGTGAGAATTTCTCCTTTTTGAAAAGCAGATTAAGGGGGCGGGAGGCAGGGGGATCCAGGTTCAGAGATTGGGCCAAGACCCAGGTGTCTGATTTCCCAGCTCCTCCCCTGAGCCTCAGCTCCCAGGCCAGCCTCCACAGCTGGGGTGGCTTCCGGGGCAAGGCTGGGCTGACTGCAGGGTCCGGGGCAGCCCGGAGCAGATTTCTTCCATGCCTGTGCACTGTCCCCTGCCCACTGTCCCATCTCGAACGGAGCTCTCTCCCTGGAAGCGTGCCCTGCCTGTGGTCGGAGGCTGTGCCGGCCTCTCTGCGTCGGCCTCCTCAGCCCCCTGAGCCATAGTGAACACCCTTACTAACCGCTTTTTCTCCTAGCTATCTCATTCCAGCCACTAGGGTCTCCACCCCTGGCTGGGGTTATCAACTTTTGTTCTGTGTACCCCACCCACCCTGAACTCCAGTCCCCGGCCACACCCCAGGGCATGATTAGCTGCCCAAAAGTGTTGAGGTTCCTCACACAGAGAGGGAGAAGAGGGCAAAAACACCCTCTGTCACCAGGAGAAAGGATGAGTGGAAAGAGCTCTCAAGCTGCTTTTTCCTTGCTGTGTAGCTCAGGCTGGCCTTGAGCTCGAGGTGATCCGCCTCAGCGTGGCCCACAATGCTCGGCCACTGCTTTCTTGAGTCTTTCTCTGGTGTTGGGAGTTTACCATTTGCATTAGCCACATTCTGAGATCCCCTGCCCCAGTCCCCCCATGTTGGATAGAGGAAGGGCATCTGCTGTCCCTTTTCTGACAAATTCTGGTACATTCTCCAAGTTGGTTCCAATTTTTATTTGTGTACCCAGAAGAGGAGTGTTTTCTTCTTCCAGACCAGGAAGGATTAGCAAAGAGAGTCCAGCAGTTTGGACCTCTGTAGAGGGGTGAGCACAGTGACACGACAGTGAGGAGCTGAAGCCAGCCTGCCTTGGACGTGCCAGTGCGAATCTGGACTCCGTTTCATCCCCTGGGCCCCATCCTCTCTCCTGGGTCCTCTCCTGATTCCAGTTTCTGCAGTGCTGCTGGCCAAGTTCCACTGACAGCCCTTTCTATGCCAGCCACTCATGGGAACAGGGGCAAGCAAGGGAGGACAGTGGAGGTGACCCACTTTGAGGCTTCAAAGGCCCTCCTGTGCCGACAGTGGGATGACCTGGCCCATCTGGAATCCACATTTTTTTCTGGCAAAGTCACTGTAAATGTGGGATCTCTGTGAGGGCAAGCTAGGGTCAGTGCTGAGGCTGGCAGCCAGGACTCAGCGTGGACTCCAGGGAAGTGGAGGAGGCTGCAGGCCTGCCTTGAATAAATCTTTGCATAGCACACCCATGATGCCACTGACTTCTATTCAGGGCTCTCAGTCACTCATATCCAATCCCCAAGGGCTGGCTGTTAGGGAACTCAGGCTTTTGGCCAGTTTTCCCAGTCTGTTCCCCAGGAAGCTGTGACAGGGCCATCGGATCTACGACTGTCCTCCCTCTTCCTTTTTATGGATGAGCAAATGAACATAATGTGCAGATGGGGTGTCTCTGAGAAGATCTGAGTGGACAAACCTCAGATCTCAGGAAAGATGAAAAGACCAAGTGGCTGTCAGCTCTTTAGAAAGGAGATTTTATAAGGGAAGGATAAGTAACTGATGATCTCAGAGGAGAAACCAAGCCAAAGTCAACTCGGCCACAGAGAAGGGCATAGAACCAGGAGCTGGAAAATTAGGTCTGCTTCAGCCTCCCTTCCCTGCTCAGGTAAACTGAGACAAGGAAGGAAAGAGGGCCAATTGGCTGGCCAGTGGACACCATGAGGCAGTGCTCTGGCTTCTGAACAAAGGACGACCTGTCTTCGCACCTCCATGAATTCTGTGATGAACCTTCTCCTTCACTGCATCCACACTGAAAAAAGACTTAATTTACCAGTAAATTAAAATCCCCTATATCAACAGTCAGTAGACTTTCTTGAAACCTGAAAGTTGATTCTTCAACAAAACCAAAAAGCAAGACCACGCAATTACCTATAGCGGGAAACATGTAGGGACTAGATCTAGATCTCCTGAGAGGTCAGCATGAATTTTCATATCAGCTTTTCATTCCAAGGCTCTTACAAAAGCTTTCCACAAATCTGTAAATAAGGGCCAGTATTACTTCATTTTACTGGGATTTTAGCTAAAGGAAAGGACGCCATGGGATAACAGACCCAACATGAACACTCAGCTTTTGTAAAATTAGAAATCTGGGCTTGTTTTCTGGCTTGTAAACTACACTGTGGCTCTTAATATGGCTGTATTTGATGTCAAAATTTGCTGTTTGTGCCTGGCAGTGCTGGATGTAGCCCTCTACCTCTACACCATGACCTGTAGTATTCCCTGTCCTCACCTCCTTGCCCAGAGGAACTTATTTGTCCCTGTGAATCCACAGCACCTCATAGTATTTCCACTTTGCACAAGAATCAAAAGACTGGTCTGGCACTTCCTATTCTTACTAGTTCAACTCCACTTCAACTTCTCTCTGGCGTGATTCCTCTTGTGTTGGAATTCATCCGTGTCTATTGTTAGGATCACATACAGAGTTATTAAATTACCATAATAAAAACCTATTTGTATCCTTTGTAAGGACTATGTTTTCTGGGATATCTTTCTTCCCCTTCTTCACATAGAGGCCTCTATGTGGCTGGAAAAGCCACAGGAGTGGGGGCTTCAGAAGGAGACAGAGGTGGGCAAGATGCCAGCAAGGAGGCCAGAGTCAAGGGAGAAAGGTTTTGAGTGGGGAAGAACAAACATGGAAGTAGCTGCCAAAGAGCTATAGACTAAAGGGCTGGGAGAATGAAGGAAAGAGGTTTTTTTTACTGTAAAGGGAGCCCTCCTTTGGGACGGGAATTCCTTGACACTGTCAGAGAACAGCCCAGCCCAGACACTAAAAGCCAGGCATTCCCTTGATTTCTGGAATTATTAAATGGGTCAGAACCAAATATCAGTGCCTCTACCACGAAATAAACACAGGGAGCCAGTAAGTCACTTAATTGATGAGTCTTTTTCTTCTTCTTCTTATCTTAAAGATGACTTCTAATTGACAGTAACAAAGCTCTGTCAAAGCAATTTCTTATTCACAAAAAAGATTTACTAGATTACTTCTGCCAATAAGTAACATTCCTATCTTTTCTTTAACATAAATGAAAGCAAGAAAAAGTAGGCAATCTCTAAATCCAAGAAAATAATCCATCAGTCAGAAGAATCTTTAAAAAATAGTACCAACTAGCCTCACAACTAGCCCACCACATCTAGGAAGCGAAACCAGGATCTTTTCTTGGTAAATGTGTGCTGACGTTTCTATTAGAAAAAAACAGCTATCACTCACAACACACTGAGAAAGGAAAAATGAGTTGGAATGGCATCTTCCAAAAGATACTGTGACAGGCAATGCATCTTTATTGCCCAAATCAAAATCTACAGCTGCTTCCTTCTTACTACATGCACTTCACTTTAACATGCAAAAATAAAAAATAAATTTAAAAGGGTCTTTGGAGAGAACTGTGATGAGGGAGTGAGGGAACCCTGGGCCACAACTTACAGGCAGGCAGTGTGCATGGCCCTACTTCACAGCTGCATCAATGGATGGGCCACGCCCATTTCCTTGCTTCTGGATCTGAAGCCACCTAGACTTGTCATGAGGGGGCTGAGGAGAAGACGCATGACCCTGTCTCAAACAAAGGTGTTATTTAGCAAGTCCCGCCACGGTTTCAGGGGCAGGAGGCCAAGGCCTCCCAGGAAGTAATACACTCTCCAGTATCATCTTCACCTTTGCGAACGCATAGATGGAGGCAGCTAAAACTGACCCCATTCGCTCTGGCTGGTCAGACAGAGGCAGGGTGGGTCCCAAGTCCCAGTGTAATGTTGGGCCCCTCTCCCTCACTCTGTCAATGCCACAAAGCCCTATTGTTTTGTTTTGTTTTGTTTTGGTATCGGGAATCAAACTCGGGACCTTGCACTTGTCAGGCAGGCACTGGAACCACTGAGCTAAATCCCTGGCCCAGCCCTATTGTTAATACAGTCCACTGCTGGCCCTTTAGATAAGAGTAGCACCTCTGTCCTTCAGCTTGACAACTTTCTTTCTCTACACACATCTGTTCTTTCTTATGACCTTCCTACAAGTGTCTGATCACAGCGGGCTGGAAAGGGGCTGTGGCAATATCATACTTTAGAAGTGTCCTCCATGTAACCCAGACCTTTGTCAGTGTTTTGCTAAGCCTTTCCAGGCTGCCCTTTACTCCCTGTCTAGCAGATTTCAGAAAAGATGTGGACAGGGTGCCAGACAAGGTAGAACCCACAGTTATTACCCCAAGTAATTTAGGAAATTGGAGCCTTATACCCACAACTGGAGCTCTGGGTTCTTTCTCCCTCTGGTATCTTTCTGCCTGGATAGGAAGAGTTGAATAATATTTTTAAAGAAACTGGGGTTCTATGATTACCATAACAACTACAATAAATATTGGGGATTCTAGAATGCTTTCTCAACAAGTCTTTACAGGTTAAAGTATTTTATTTTATTTTTTAGGTACTGGGGATCGAACTTGGGAC